TAGAAAAAATGTCATCCTCTGATTCCTACCCAGTCTCATCAACAACAAAACCCCAGGGCACAGGTAACCACTGATCTTGACTCTCGCAGTGATAATAAAGGTCATAGTCGAGTGGGGCTGGCTTGCTACCATCATCATCAGAGATGCTGTGAAACGACACCCACCACCATCCTTGAATTGCTTCTCATACGCAATCTTCTTCGATGGCCTGGTGGGTGGGGATGAGGCTTGGCCCACTTGCTCGTTGCCTGACGATGCCCCAGTGTCGCTACACTTCCTCTTCACATCAGGACCATTCCACCAAAGTAAACTTCCCTTCTTGAGACGAATGATGTCACCAGTGGCGATACCAGCCCTAGCAAGTGTCTGGTCATCGATATCCATGAGGATGTCAGGCCCAATCAACTGCAGTTCAAGTTCCCATTCATAGAGGGTGGCGTTGCAAACACCGAGGTTTGATTCAGCATAGCGAAGAAAGCAGGAGAGATGAGATGGAGATGGGATGGGTGGCGAAATGGGAGGATCCTGTGGCATGTGTGTGGGTGTCACAGGAGGCGGAACTGGAGAAGTGTGGGCACTAGATACACTGGGTGACAAGAGGCCAGAATTTGCAAGCATCTGAAGAAGGAGAACACCAGTAATAGAGTTGATATCAATATTTTGCGACGCCTGGGCTTGCACTTTGCAGGCTGGATGCAAAAATGGCGCTTTGTTGCTCCAATTGAAAGACTTGAGGTTTGGGGGAACTGACAACATAGCTTGCCCTTCATCCTACAGATAGTTTAGGGATAGAATGTTCATGAGTAGTGAAAGACTTACCAATGCACAGCACCAGTCCAGTACCATCGCAGGTGAAAGGGGGATTGGCCCCGCTGGCCTGACATAAGTCATTCCCTTGTCATTCTCATTCTTGTACTGGCTCAGGAGTTTCATGCGCCACCAGGCAAGGTGCATATCAAGGTCTGAATGTTTCTGCTTTCCACTATCCTCACCAGACAAGTTGCTCTTGTCTCCAGAGCCATCGATAGTCGGAAGTTTCTCCACATGTTTCATATCAACAGTAGATCTTCATTGGGCCAGGGTGAACGCTACAAATCCTCTTGACCATATCCTTGTAGTCAACTTCATTATTGACATTGATCGCATTACTGATGGCTTGGCTAAGGTAAAGCATGGTTAGCACAGATTTGCAGAGTGAGAAACGACTTACCTCTGTGCTTTGGGCAGTACAAACTTGAAGGGAAAATGTTTACTGCTTGAGACCCTATATTGTCCTTGACCATGCTTGTCCAGTACATGCTGTAGAAAATTGAGGTAGTTAGTATTGTTGACAGAAAAAGTAAGCTCTTTTGTCTTCATGGTCGCTTTTGGCGCAGTCTTTCCCTTCTCCTTTTTCTTGGGTCCATAGACAGAAAGTGAAATCATGAAAGAATGTAATTTTTCTGCGATGGGAGTGGGGGATCACGGACAGCGATGACATGTTGAAAAACAAGTCTGCTGTAGGGATGAAGTCTAAGTACATGCCTTACACTACACAATGTTACCATAGAGGTGGTTTTGGGGTCCTATCCCGGCTATATCTGAACAGACTAACTGTCAAACAGATTTTCTGCATCGTTTTGCAAACAGCTGTAAGTGAGTGTGAGGAATGGAGTCAATATCTTTGGAAATGGTGGAGATCTGACAAAAACTGGAATGCCATACTCAAGCACTAAAAACTTTTGATGGGTGCTTGACTCACTTTCTCTTTTCTCTTTAGCACTGACAACTTATTCTTGTGCAAAGGATGACTGCTCATGTCCAGCAGTCTTTCTATGCATGAGGGCTTTAGTCTTCATCTGCATGGCATGACATGCAACTTCTCAACAAGTTAGGCAGAGTCAGCTGTAACCATGTCCACAACACCTTTGGTGTGTGACAATGGTCCAACAGTAGGTGGTACCAAGTCTGCCAGCAGTCAGGGTGGAGAAGACTTGCAAATGACAGAGGGCAGGTGGAGAAGACTTACAAATGAAAGAGGGTGGGCAGAGTTGGTGTGGAGTGAGTGGGAACTTAGGATAAACACACAGTTGTGACACATATCTTGCAAATGGAAACTGCAGTGGCTAACCCAACCAACAACAACCTCTGCCTCTGCCAGTTGACACTGATGGTGACCTTGAGTATGAAGTGTCAGAGATACTTTACTCTAAGGTGGTCCACCATTGCATTCCACTGCCAACTCTTGTACCTAGTCTGCTGGGCTGGTTACAAGAACACCAACAAAAAACCCTCTTGGTTGCTTGCAACTGAGCTAGATCACACCTCTGGCATCATCTCTGCATTTCATGAACACTAACCACACAAACCTTGCCCATACCAACCTCCATCATAGTACTCCACCCACATAACCTTCCTCTGCAGGCCCTTTCTGAACTCCCTCAAGTACCTTAGAATTTTCTCCCCCTGTCTGTCTCACTTCTCAGAATCACAAAGAAAAAACATAGCTACTCCTCCATCTCCTGTCCTTCACCACCACCTCCTTTCCCTTCTCTGACTTCCTCCTCTTCCTCATTATCCACCTCTGCACCTTCATCTGCCTCTTCAATCCTGTCCTCTGCCACCTTTGTCTATGACCTCTTCCAACCTCCACCTGCACACTCAAACATGGCCATCTGGGCCTCACACAGGTCCTCCCACCACCTCATCTCTGCCCACTCTGCCCAGGAGCAGTATGGCAAGAACTCATCTGCTGTATGCTCCACCACATCCACCATCCTCTCATATGCTTGTGTGACCCTGTCATGTGTGAGTGCCTCCATCCTCCACCACCTGCATCCTCTGCTCCAACTCCCACTGAGTCCACCACAAGGGAGCCTCTTGTGGCAACTCTGGTTCTTCCTCTTCCTCTGCCCACCAGTACTCTGCTGTTCATCAGTATGAATATCACCTAAGTTCCTACTCTGTCTCTCTCCATTTTCTGTCTGCTGGAGTTATCTCTGAACATCCATCTGGTCTCTACCTCTGAAATACAAGGGCTGAGATCACACAAGGGAGTAGTGCACAAGCTAAACCCAATGCCCTGCCAATCCTCTGCTAGTTGGAGTTCTGTTCATCTGTGTCAGACTTGCAACCACACCTCTCCCCAGACTTGACACTTGACACTACTCCATATCTCTCCATCTTCTGTCTGGTCTCTACCTCTGAAATACAAGGACTGAGATCATGCAAGGGGGTAGCACTGTAGGGAGAGCAATTTCACTATCAGGGGAATTGTTTTATTTTCTTGTTTTACTTGGTTTTCATTATAGATACTTTTTTCTGTGAGTTGTACTTGGGTTTCGCATTTTTGGTTGCTTAGTCAGCAGTAGTACTACTTGTGTATGGTTTTTTCCTTCACAAAATAATTGACAAGCTACCACAGACAAGAGACAAAATCAAGCAGGTTGTTTCCCTGCTGTCACAAATTTGTTCAGTACCATTATGATGCTGGCAACCTTGAATGATGTGTCATTCCATTATAATGTACATTACAATACCATTCTGAGGGAATCTAATAGAATAACTGTACCTTACCTATCATTTCAATAAGCCATGTGACATTGCAATAATCTTTGATAATCAGAAGGTATTGTAAGGATAGTCCTAATGACTCTGCATCTATAATATATGTAAGTGAAGCAGCATTCCAAGCTGATCATTATTCCTTCACCATCACACACTGCTGTCCTTGCCCTTCAAGGTGTGTATCACTTCAATCTGTTGCAGAACCCACTAACTTCCCACTATTACTTGCTATTAACCTGACATAATTGACAGACTACTGCTACCATGGGGCCATCTCAAAGGGCCCACTCAAAGTACAAATATTCTGAAAAGACTCTAGCAGGTTGGATATGTGAATATTGCAACAAGACATTCAAGCCACATGGTTTCAAGAGGCATGAAGTGAGCTGCAGGAAACAAACTGAAGCCAAGCAAGAATGCAAACAATATGGCCAAGTTTTGGAGTGGTTTGAAAAAGGTGAGCATTGTTCTACATCACCTGTCCTTAAGAACCACTTCCCAATGGCTATGCCCAAGTCAGCACAATTCCATGCAATGAAGAAAATGCATAATGCTCAGGGTCTGCCTGCTGAAAAGGTGGAACCTGACATGCTACATTCCCCTTCCAGTTTCATTGCTGTTCCCAATGGCAATGAGGCTGGCCCATCTATATACTCATTTTGATGATGAAAGTAAGGCTTCCCTTCCCCTTCTTCTGCCAAATACACAACTGGCTTAGGAAATCCCATGTTGATGCCCTACTGTGCAAGTTTGTGGAACATGAATACCCTGCCAGTGCACATGAGAATGAACCTCTTGGAAGTCCAGGTGTGATCCTCAATTTAGTTTTTTCTATTTGATGATTACAAGTACACCTCTTTAGTGCTATCAGATGCTATGATGGGCACAAGATCATTGACTACTTCTCAATCCCAGCCACCATGCCCCTGGCTATTCACAGCAAGTAATAGAATTCAAAACTGAGTTTCATCCATGCAGCAACTGGCCTCCACTTTGTCAAAGTTTTGACGAGTTCCAAAGGTGCTCAATGACATTTGTGCCTCCAATGGATGACACTCCCTACCTGAACCATTCATGTGGTGTTGGCGACTTTGAGTTTATGGAGATTGCCCTGGAAGCAAGCCTAAATTGGAAGCAAGTTGATGCTTTGTTAGATCTCATTGGCCATGTTGCAAAAGAGGCCTACTTGGGTGACTCTCAAGAATGACATTGAGTTTTGCAAAGCCTGTGATGCTGCAGTAGGCAGAGCTCACACCAGTACATTAGTACCATGTTCAGTTTACTAACTTCACTGTAACTGCTCCATCATACTTACAGTTCTCCAAACATAGCAGTCATTGCAGCATATAAGAAGGAAGTGCAGACATATGAGGTACATACATGACCCATCTGGGAATGGGCACTTGACATTTTGGCTCTGCACTTCATTTGGGATGCACAACACTTGTTCAAGCATGATGGACATGGATTTGAATGCTTCTATGATGAGCCCTGGACAGGCTGACAGCTGGTGGGACATTCAAGTGTGTACTTGTTGTCGACTTGTTAGGTAGCAGTAATTTGATGTAACTACTAGTCCTCCTTGCCTGAAGTTCTGAATGCTGTACCATTTGCCTTTATTATTTACACCAACAAAACCAAATTATCATCATTTGGCACTGCAAAGGGCTATCCTGTTGTGGTCTGTTGTGTGAACCTCCCAGTAGAGATACAGAATAGCCATGCAATTTGGGGAGGCTGCATCGTTGGATGGTTACCAGCTGTACATCATCCCAGTGCCCTGAAGTTCACACCTTTTATAAACAGATATTTCCTTTGCATGTAGGTCCCCAAGGACACTGAAGAAGAGGGAAAATTAGGATACACAACTCTCAAGCACATTGTTTGGCATGAATCATTTTCTAGACTTCTCAGTGACATTATGCAGCACTCAAAAACTGGGTATATCCATATGTCATGCCATGACCAAGTAACCCTGTTGGTTGTTTCCTGTCATATTGATATTGTCTGCAGATTATGAGGAACAGTAAGCTTTCATTTATCCCAGCCCTCACTCAAGACTCAAACACAATGCAGGTGTATGATGTCACTTATCTGTGGCCACACCAGCAAATGCCCATGCCCAGTGTGTCTTGTTCCATTAGAGGAGCTTCACAATATTTCCAAAACATATCTGCTTTGTTCCATGGATGAAGGCATAGTGTGCCATGCACATTTACAGACACAGCTGCACTGAGGGTGAAAAGGTGCTTAAGGCACTCAGGTTGTGGCCCATCCATGTAAGTTTGTGATTCTTGTCCTTATTCCAGGCATTGTACCTACATTAATTAAAATGACAGAATGTTTTCTGGCTCATCTGCAATTCTGACCTTTATGGTGCACTCAGCTTTGACCACCTACATTTTCTACATGGTGGTCTATGGGGAAAGCACATACTACAGGACATCTTGAGAATTCTGAATGTCCTTGGGCACAATGCTGAAACCAATGTCAAGAACTAGTGAGTCTTCCTTCTGATACTTTGTGCCATCACTTCCTTGGCTTTCCATAGTGTTTCCAACTTCCCCCAATGGTGGCTCCTCTTTCACTTCAAGAATGTCATCAATGTAACATTTTCAGATGGAAACAAGATGTGTGATCTGGCAAAAGTAAGTCTGGTTTTGTTTGCATTCTGTGTGCTTAATATTCTATGCTACAGGCAATGTTCTATGCATTGCTGAATGTTTTTACCAGGACAGCCACACCTGAAGGCTATTGTCTTCTCTGCATCCTTGCAAGTTATCTCCAGCTGGACAGTTTGATAGGTTTGGACATGCATACTGAACGAACAATAGAAATGATAGATGCAGAGTTGCTGAAATTCAACAACAAATTGAGGGTATGCCAACTTTCTTCCATTGGCTCCAGATTGCATGTTGGCCTACACTAACTTCATTCCTAGGCATACATTGAATGTGTAAATAAATCTGGGTTAGAAGGGCTGTGGGTGGACTGGGACTTTCCAAAGGTGCACCTTTGGAAACATGTAGTGTGCAATATCCAGATGAAGGGTTCCACCAGGAACTACAGCATGCGCCCAAATGAGAGTATGCATGGCCCTATCAAGGAGGCATAGGCATATGAGCATCAATCAAATGGCAGGGACTTCACTGATCAGGTATTGCTATTCATTTCACTTGTTTGTTCAATGTTGCACCTCTCTTTTATATTCCGCAGATCCTACATGTGGACAAACATAAGCTTGCTGCCAAGCTGCTCAGAATGCATGTCAATAACTACAAAAACTGGACCCAAATGCAAGGTGAACCTGCAGGCACTGAGGGTGAATGCAATGACAATCAATCTGGATTGTTCATGGCATTTGATCATGTCTATCTTGGTTCCTCTTCCAAACCATCTACCATACAGGACATTGAGGCCAGTTGCAGTGTCTCTGACACTGTCTTTGTTGGTTTTTGCAAGAAACTGTCAGGTTTTTGTAACCAGTGCCTCCCTCAATATGGCTATCAAGTTGATAAGTGGATCACTATCCCTGCTCACTTTGAGGCAAGTGACCTTCTTATGAACTTCTTTAAACTAATGCCTGGCTTGTAGATAACAGAATACAGATACCTCAAAGTGAACTACAAGTCATCTGTTGATTGGAAAGTTGTTACTGACCATCTGCAATGCAATCTGTCATTCTATGGGCAACCTCAGTATGATTGCACTCTCATTCAACTCATGGAGACAGACACTGCATTTGTCCACCTCATTTCTATCTTCACCTGCAACATCCATGGTGTTGGCTCTATTAGTCTCGCATTCATACAGCCACTGACAGCAAAAGTTGGTGGCACCTGTCAAATTGACATCGATCTCTGGCTTATCTGCATCCAGGCTGCTCCTTGCAACAACCCCATATTCATTCCCATTCAATCCATTCTTTGTGGTGCAGTGGTAGCTCCTGACCCTTCATGCCCTGGTGAGTATTTTGTCATCAATCATATTGATGGAGATATGTTTCTTCACATGAAATCTCAAAATAGTTGCTGAATGCGAAGGATATTACAGACTCAATTCCTGCTTCCTATTCATTCCGAGCCTTTACTGCATGTAAACACATTCTTCATGATGTACTGATACAATGGCATTGTTCATTGCGCAGTTATCTGATATAAAGCTAAGTGTTTCCCTGCCCCATAGCATTAACAGTTATCTCATAGGACACACCACATGTTCAAGTACCACTTGCACTAATTTACACATGTATTCTATCCATGCAGCACACAATGAGTGTTTTTACAGCATGCAACATGTTGAAATGGTGCAAGCGATCACACTAGTGACTCACTCTTGCAGCTTGGTTTTAGTTCCAGAATCAGACAGTGATGGGTGTGATGCTTATAAAAGAGGTGAGATTCACATCTCGAAACCCAGGTGCCATGTCCCTCTCAACCTCCCTGTCTTCACAATGTTCCAGTGCCTTTTATTGTCATTCTCTTCCATCTGTTGTGCAAACACATCCCCCATGCCCCAGCTGAGTGATGATGATTTCTTCTCAAATGAGCAGATTAATATTGATAGAGAAGACAATGACTCCAACAATGATTCCTCAGAGACTGACAGCTCTGAAGCCAGCGACTTTGAACAGATGCGAAGGGTTTTACATGATCCAGGGCCAACTGCTGAAGTCCATGAGCTGCAAAAGGTGAGCATCAACTTGGTTCTTTCTTCACTCATGACTGACACTGCTTCACTCCATTTCTTATTAGGCCCTTGCAATTGCTCAGAAAGCTTACTCTGAGACACATGTTGAGCTACACAGTGTATGAAAGGAGCTCCATAGTCTGTCTTCAACTCTTTCCACTCACAAGCGCAATCATATTCTGAACAAGGCTTTGGAAAGCCTGAGTATTGATGCCAGTATCTCTAAGGAAGTGAAGAAGTATGCCCTTCTTTACAATTTCTGGGTCCCAGATGGCCTTTTTCTGCCAATGCCAAAGCCAGATGTTGATCTGCACAGCCCAACTCGCTGGATGTCACCCAAGGCCAAACTTGATGGTGCAGTAGTGGAACTCTACAGCATAGTCCCCAGCTCTCTCCATAAGTACATGGAGACCTATAAGCAGTTTGGATCTATCATAAGTGCTTTCATGCTTTGACTAGCATTCAGCTCAGTTGATGATCTTAGTTTATGAGTGCTCTCAGTCAAGAATGGTCCAACATCCTGAGGGCTATTAAAAACTGTGCTGGCATTGTTTTCATGCCATATGGGCTTGACCCCACCTGCCTTTCCAGCCATCCTTCAGGAAGGAAGGAAGATCCCAAGTTTCAGGTTCTACTGAAGAAAGATGGTGTTGGCAAATACACATGTCTTGCTCCAATTCTTTTCAAAAAGCATGACAACATGGTTGCTAGCGAGTTTCTCATGAGTCTGGCTATCACCCTTGTATGTGCATTGTTATCTTGCATGTGATATGATGGCTGATCTCCACTTCAGATAATTCATGCCCTCATCAATGGCAAAGCGAGTCTCACCAACCACAAATGAGGATGGCCAAAAGTGAGGGGTCAGCATATAGGTATAAACAGTGCTACTAGTGGTTTGATATCCAGTGCAGCAACTTTAGTATTTATTTTATATATTTGCACAGAGGTACTCAGCACTGATGACTACTACAGGCTCATTTTCTAGTGTCTCCAGATTTAGAGCTCTCTTCCATCAGTGTGGAGACTCGCATTCTGTACTGCTCTGACTATGACTTCTACATTGAAAAGCTTTTGAAGAAAAGCAATTGGGCTCTCTGTGTTTTTGATCATGTGAATTGTGAGGTGTTTGGTAAAGACTCACAGTCGAAGAATGCATCATTAGTTCCTCCAGTTCCTCTGACTGCCCAGTCACATACTTTGGAAGATGAGATGTTGTCCAAAATCAAGAATCCTACACCTCATGTCACAGCTCCCACCTCTCCCACTGTCAACACATTTGTCAATCCTGCATTCCTGAATTCTCCTTCTGCTTTGATGCAGGGCTTTGACATGGCTACCTGCTCATCCTCATCCACTTCTAGCTGTCATGGAAACACACTCTCTGTTTCCACAGTTTCTCAGCTACAACTTGAGGTTGGTCAGTTAAGTGTAAGTGGTGCCTGCACTACACCTCCACTGTCTTCAGCTTCAAGTCAACAAACCATGGCACCTACTTCTCACAGAAAGATCACCCCTGTACCCACCCAATGACAAGAATCCTCACATGCTGCCAAGGACAAAACAATTGTTGACCTGCCTGAACCCCCAAAGCGCACCACATGTAATACTACCCATGCCAGAAAGGTCTCGAAGACCAAGAAATAATGTCAACACTTATGATCTTTTCATAGCAGTTGCTCCATTGTTCTTAAGTGCTATTTTGCTTGTTGCACTTGGTCTCCAGCATAGTATTACACTGCCATGTTACTTTAAAATAGTCTATGGTTGTGTATTATACAGATTGTTGTGTGTACAATTGATTCTGTTGTCAAGTGTGGACATGTCACTAAGTGATAACATTGAATTACTTCAAGTGTGTTTAGCATGCCTTGTCAGCACCCATGATCCTCCTCCCCTATTGAGATTTTCTACCAATGTGATGCCACCCAACACTTTCACTGCACAAGGACTGTGTCTTACCCTTCACTTCATGCAATGTGCACTGGTGTAGCACTACCATCCTCCCCTGGCCCAATGTTGGGGTCCATATGGTTTCCTCTTCCCCCTGTCAAATTTTTCTCAAGCTGCATTGGCATCAAGGGTTTTCATCTTCCAACACAGCTGTTTCCAGGTTCAGATGATTGGAAAACCCCTTGTGAGTACTTGATGCACCATCTTTGCTGCTAGAAATTGAAAACTCCCACTTACAACATTGCCTCAGGCTCACCTTTCATGTCTGATGTTGGACCATCAGACCTCTGAGACTCCTCGAGATTGATGAGCTCTGTCCCATCAATATACAGTTGTCGCCATATGATATTTGCCACACCTGTGCACAGAGTGACACCATGCCATACATACCAGAATTCTCTGCTGCTATATGCTGATGATCTCAAGGCTCCTTCCTCTCCACTTCCTCATTACATGCTAGGTATGCTCACCACTGAACTTATGTCAAAAATGAAAGTATGCTTGTGTTGTGTCGATATTCAGTATCCAGATCTGACTTTACAACCACCTGCCTTTGTGTTCCCCCCATCTCTTCATTTTTTGTTGTCAACTAGATCTTTGTGGGTGCAGTTGTACTCTCTGCGATCTCCTTTCCTTTCCTTACTTGCTTTCTGTACCCAGCCAACTCTCTGTGACTTTCCTGCACTGCACATGATTCGTTCCATGGTCCCCCTATACATGCTTTTGCCCAAGGTGAGACCCCCTCATCTTCCCACTCTCTGGTTTGCTGGCTACTGTATAATGCTGGTACTCAGTCTTCTCAGTCATGTACTTCCCACTATCTTCCTACTCCAGCATTCATTTCATCTCCTTTTGCCCTCCCCACTTACTAAATCTGAGGACCACCCATGACATGCCTGCCCTGTTCCCTGTGATCACAAACTCCATGATGTACTACAGAGATCATTGTGTAAGATCAAGGTGAAGTTCAACCAATCTCTTGTGAACCTGGGGAGATGTGTGGAACTCCTGCCACACAATCTATTGGTGAACCAGCTACTCAGATGACTCTTAACACCTTCCACTATGCCAGTGTATCCCACCCATATCAAAACACCCTCACTTTCCATGTACTTGGAGTGGGATATCACCCAGGACAGGATGTTGGCAAAGAATGTGTAGCAAGAGCTTGCTTGCACATTGCTTCAGACCATCACTGCCTACAGTCAAGAACCAGTATGACCCCCACCCTACATCCACCATTATCAAAGAAGACTCCACTGCATGTTTGTCCAAATCCTTCTTCACCATCCCAGACAAGGAAATCAAGTCGAAGCTCCACCTTCAGTCACCATGGCTCCTTCGATTGGTGCTTGATTGTGCTAGAATGGTTGGTCAGAAACTAATTACTATGGCATATGTTGCCAGCTGCATCACTGAGAGCTTTGAGATGCATCTCTTCACTACCTGGAGCATGCCTGGTGTTCACCAAGTATTCTTGTTGGAGCATGACAAGATGTATGCCAATGATGAGGTGAGCATCAAGACAAGGAAAGAGTGGGCTTTGGAGACTGATGGTGTCAACTTGAAGGTGGCAATGTGCATTCCAGGTGTCAGCTTTAGTCCCACATACTTGAACAACTGTGTTGAGAGCTTCACCACACTTAGGGTTGAAGCCATGTGTGCAACAATCATGAAGAAACTGTGAGGAGCCTTTGAATTCGACAGTTCATATGTCAATTACCACCACCTGGCATTGCCCTGTGACCTCCTGACCCATTGCAGAATGCCCATGGCAATCACCTGTCATGGTATTAACTATCCTGATACTGGTGCCCTGATGCATTGCTTGTTTGAGGAAATGGTGGAGATTCTGATGGAAGCTGCTGCCATTGGTGAAAATAATGATTGTCATGGTATCACAAAAGAGGTTATGTTTGGCCAGCTTGTGCCTATGGGTACAGGTGCCTTCGAATGTCACACTGGATATCAACATACTTAAAGATGCCATTGTCGATCATCATCTGCTGGTGCAAAATATTCTTACTGCTCATGTGGACTGCAGTATGACACCAAGCCAAGTAGCAATGACACCATATGACATGAACTCCCCCACATGGTCAGAGAGTAACTGCAAGGGCGAGTTGGCAGCCCTCTCACCCCTTGCCACCAATGGCAGAGAAGATCCTGCCAACTTTTCATTCCTCAGATATGGGAAGAGTCCTTTGGGTGCAGGAGACATGTCACCTGCCAGCCCCCCTGGGTATAGTCCTGAGCTCTCCCAATGCATACTCACCTACATCGCCTTATGTCCCTCAATCTCCATACAGTGCAACAACCTCACCATTTGGTACATTGGTACATGCAACATCCCCATTCTATGACAGAAGCCAAGGGGCTACATCACTGACATACTTCCTGATGTCACCTGCTCTCAATCTCATGTCTCCCTGTTATTCACCAACCAGTCTGTGGTACAGTCTGCAACTGCCTTCCTTCAGTCCCACATCTCCATGGTACTCACCAACTGGCCCATCCTTTGTCTCCAAGATGTAAGTCATGTTTATCTGTTAGCAAACAGGTCACTAACTTCATGCCAGATTCACCTAGTGCAACCTTTTATTTTTTTCCTACTCACTCTACTGATCATTCCTTTTCTCATTGCCTCCTTCCCCCAGCTTGTAAGTAACTTAACTCAGTCATATCTGTAGTTATGTCACTCACAACTCTGCAGCCCCTGCACAAATGCCACCCTTGTCTCCAAAATACTTACCCATGTCACTGGTGTCACCCTCCTCACCCAAATATTCCAATTTCTCCAAGTTATTTTCCAGCCTGTGAGTTATTGACAATGTTGACCTCAGTTACACCAGTATTGACTGCCAATTCTTTCACAGCTCCTGCCCAGTGTAAGTGTCTTCTGTATATTAGTGAGGTCACAGCAGTTTATTCCTACCAGGTCCTGTTTCTCCTGCATATAGCCCAACATCTCCATAATGGTTGCCTTTGAGGCCTGCCCAAAATGGTACAACTCACCATGGGCACTGATACAGTACATCCCCATCATGGGGGTTGGGATTTTTCTTGTTTGTGTCTATGTCTCTTGCTGGATGTCTCCCCAGGTGACTGGCACATACCTACTAGTATGTTTTCATAGTCATACACCCCATGTAGATTACCATACATCTTTATTATGCAAACTAGACAACAACAATGTTCATACTAAGTATTGAGCCAATTTGTCTGTCAATGTAAGGTATTGAAACCCAGCCTATGGGAATTATTATATAATCCAATGGACTGTAAATACACAGTGACTTCCTTGCTTCCACACCCTTACCATGACTGTCATCATTGGTATCATCTGTACTGCTGACTTGTCAGGCAGTTTCACCCATACCATTGCAGCAGTAAGTACCCATCACCATCATGCTGTCAAGTTATTATTATTAACTGGCCCTTGTTAAATGTTGACAGTTCCCTGCTGCCCCCAATGACAAAATGGAATCACCACTGACACTGATGATGATGCCAACTTCCTTTCCCTTCATTCATCCCCAGTATTCCTATACCCAGCTGTTGTGCACACTTGTCACATTGCCAACCAACCCCCCATGCACTGGTCCAGGATTGCTATTCATCTGACCTGCAGCAAGGTTTTGACAGTGCAGGTATGTGGTCACTGCTGCTTTAAGTTACTGCAGCTCACTGACTCAATGCCAATCAAACACATCAGATTCCTCAAGTCCTACATGCTCTGAACTCCTTATTCCCTGATAGATACCCTGCACCTACTTGGAATCGCTGCATCATCATTTCGTCCTCTTATATTAGCCTCAAGTTTAGGTACTATGACCTATATCCATGTGGTTAAGTATGCTGTAGTCAATGCCATGCACACAGGATTTTTTTTAAAAATGTCTTGGAATCACAATGAGAACTGAAAGAACTGAGAATGAGAAAAATGTTACATTGACCCAAGTTGACATTGGTAGAGTGGAAGGTAGCATTGTAATGATAAATATGAAATTATAATGAGTGTCGACATGTTGGCAGGTGCCAGTAGCCTGTTGTAATCCCTTAGCATAGCTGCATATATTAAATAGCCTTTTAAGGGTGTTATAATGACAGTATGGCATGTTGATGGTGACAGAGCTTGTTGTAATGCCTTATGACACTCTCTCCTTAAATAGCCTTTTAAGGGAAATATAATGACTACATTGGGCAGTGATGATGAAACCCACCATCATTCTTATGTCATTATAACATCATCTTCATAAACTTTTCCACCATTAGCATGCATTAGAAGGCAAGGTGGGAAAGTGGGACCTTAACTTACATTGTAATGTCTCATGATGTGTGTGAAAAAGTTGGGACAGCACCCAGACAGCCCAGAAGTCCTTAGACATTCTATCAATCCAGTCCCAGGCTATAGAAGCCCCTTTTCCACTCCTGCATAACTCAATGACAACTTGCATCAGGAGCACTCCTGTCTTGAATTTTTCTGCCCTCCAGGTTCCACAGAGGCAAACTGCCACTCACTCATACTTGTCCCTGGTGCTGGTTTTGGTTGGTTCACACCAGCCTTCCACACTTTGATTCACACCACTTTACTCTTTTGCATGTTACCAGTGCCACAAAATTGGTCATTGGTCATGTCACAATGGGCTCAGATGACAGTGGACTCCCCCTGCTCACAAGAACTCCCCTACTCCCTTGCCTCCCATTGCCCACTCTTCTTCCTGTTGACCCCTCACTACATGTCTATCCTCCCCTTCCTCAAGGGTCCAAGGAGTTTGAAAGGGAGGTGATGTTACACCTCAACCTGCTGGCTTACCATTTTTGGTCACACAACACTTACATGGTCACATGCCTTGCAGTAGGAGTTGTCATGGTCATTGCAGTCATCATCTGGAGTGTGGTCTGGATCCCATTCCATCCCTGGAAGAGCCTAGTGGACTCCAACAGTCTCTACAGCATTATTACCTCATCATTGACACCATACCCTGTTGGAGATATATTCTCCCCTGTGTTCTGCTCACTTTGGTGCGATGTTTGGGTGCTTACATAATCACCTTAGCGCGCACATTTTACAGTAGTTTATTCACTGTTCCCTCAGTAGCTTGTTGCACTACTGAGGGTAAGCTCACTTTCACTACCAGTATTATACTTACTGATATCCTGTAGATACCTACAGGTTGGTCTAATACATTAGTAGCTTGTTGCACTACTGAGGATACCTACAGCATCCTTCAAAATACCCAACTGCAGTTTGATTGTTTACCTGTACACTTCTCTTATCCCATTTTTGCCTTTACCAATGTATAGTATATTTGATATGTTTCACCTTCATCATGACTTGCCCCCTCACTGTGCATGTCTGATTGTGCAACCAATTTGGGCTTCACCTTCCACAGCTCTGAGTCACTCTGACTTGCTTCTATTTCATTGTTTACTTCTGCAGCAACTTACTGCTTACAAAGTTATTGTTATTGTGCACCCTCTGCCAGGAGGTATATAGGTAGAAGTATGGTATTCTGTAACTTGAGTTTTTTGCTACCTTGCAACTGCCCTAAAATATATCCTCTCTTCTGTTTCCTCTGTGTTGAGTGTATACTCCTAACAGGAAGGAACTGTTGAAGTCAGGGTTGGTAGGTCAGCCATAGGGGTCATGACAAGTTCAGCCCTCAGTGTGTCCCTCCATCCATTCATGCTTAGTCCATTTGATGAAGCCACCATGTCAGAGCATAACAGGCACTTGACTTTCCTCAACAAACATTCCCTTGGATGAAAGTCATCATCACACAGGACAGAATATCATGTGTATTACTCAAATGTATTACTTGAATTTGACTCCATGTAGTGACCCCAGGTCACATGACTTGAGGGACTTGGCATGCTTGCTGGACATGCACTGTTTGCACAATGGACAACCAATGACTGGACAATTGTCAGGTGATTATCAGGCAATCAATATCATCTGCAGATTATACTTCAAGATCACAAACATGGTTTTTTTTGTTCTTAAACTTCAACAAAAAATGATGGTCTTTTTGTTCAGCAATATTGTAACTGTAGGCTGTCATTTAACCAATGGCAAAACTTCACATATGAGCAGATTTTCTACTTGAAGGCAACACTTCATGTTTGCACATTCATTGTTTTGGAGATCATACATCTTATTTAGACTGATGTTCAGAACACAGCCACACACTCATAAGTATTTGAAGTTTTAGCCAATATTTTTCCTATCCTATCAACAACACTTCAAATCTTGCAATCACACCAACATCAATCTAAACTTCAAATTTCACCTTCACACTTTTGACAACCTTTAAACCTGATCTAAACTCTGCTAACCACATTGTGTTTCCCTACATCAAATACAGACCCAAATGTCTGGATAAGCTTGTAGTGTGTCTAAAGCAAGTTCTTCTGTGCCTACACTGCAAGTCCCAAACTTTGCATTGGAGTCACAACCCATGTCACTATCCACCTATTGAGCCAGCAGGTCCAAGACCATTAACAGATCAAAGCACACAACAGACAACAAGAAACACCATCATTATGACTATCTTCTAGTTTGCTTAGCAGATACATTCCACTGTTTCTGGTAGTACTATAGGAGCGCACGCCGCCGTCGAAATCATGGTCCTACTACCAAGGATGATTGCACCAATAAAGTAAAACTTATATTTTACATGAGTACTAGAGCGATTGTCGAGACAGCTGTGGCCCCGAGCACCAGTGCGTAGCCCGCCCTGTAAGCCGACTTCACAGTCAAGACTGGGTACATGTTATCAGCCCCATCATAAACACAGAAAGAAAACAACAATACAATACACATACCCTTTCCCATGTCCCATGCAAGATGTCGGAGACCGTTTAAAGAGTGGAAGGCGAAAGGTGCAGCCAGGATGAATTTACCCGCATACTTCACATGTTCAGGTAGCCCCGCAATGAGCTCGACTATATGCGTGCTATCAAACGTGCCAGGCGGAAAGAGGCACGCCAAAGAGAGACCGTTGCGATAAATATACTAAAAATTAAAATGATAACTTTATTAATACTAGAGCACTGATCAGAACGTCAATAAAACATTTCACGCCGCCTTCAAACTGCCGACTCACATGCGCTAAGGGCACCACCAGTGGCACGGTCGACTATGGAGGAAAACCATGTTAATAGTGGCTGATAAATGGTAAAGTGAGGGCTTTGAGTCAAGGATGGGTTCAACGCGAGTGATTCTTCAAGGTCTGCTTTTGCGCCTCTAACATCCGAGGTAAGGAACCTAGAGGCAAACCGAATTGGTGAATCACGCGAGCTACTGCTAGAGTACCCACTTGAACGTTCCCCGTAAATTCAAAGCCTCCGCACGCCCAATATCCCATGACACACCCTGATCGACGGCCTCGTTGAAAAGCGAAAGGGCGTGTCATCCAGAGCAAGCAGTAATGTCTGGTCCCCTTGTGATGACGTCTCCGGCGGCGTAGGCCTGTGCACCTGTGAGCACAGAAAATGTGCAACTCAGCACCATAAAACTTGAGAAACCCAAGTTACGCACGTTTCCGGAAGGCAGCGAAGTAAGCAGAAATAAACGTCTGTGAGGGCAATCTCAGATCTCTCGTCTAAATGATAGCGAGATTAATGCTTCTCATCCACCGAGGCTTACCAAGCGAAGCAAATAGGCCGACTCACAACCGCGATAGTCTGTGCCTTCTCTGTCGCGAGTTTCTTGAGTACTCGTTCCACTGACTGCGCTACTGCCTCGTCTTGGAATTTGTCGAGGATAGTAGCTGCAGTAAAGTCTGCAGAATTGTTGAATTAGTACGAATGTTCAGACAAATGCCGGGCGAACGAAAGCTATATTCCGGGCATCGTACTCACCTCTCAGGGCCTCTGCGTACCGACCAAGAGCCTCGAGAGCGTTGGCACGCCTGTTCAAGGCTTTGATGTAATTCGGGTCATGCCAGAGAGCCGCATCGCAGTCCTCTACAACAAGCTCAAATTGCGGCGGTGACATGTTCAAGTAACCTTAACCGCAGACACATTTCAGTAATGAAGACAGAATAGCCAGGGAAAAAGTTACAAACACGCAACTCGGTTACTGTGAAATACAGGCACAGGTTTTGGAGAGACTTGGATGGCTTGGGTGTATAGCTCTGCTGCCTGAGTGAACCTCCGAGCTTGGTATAGGGCGTTACTCCGGGACTTGAGATGCGGCCAGCCATCTTGGTATACTCATGCCCCAACTTGGAGTAACCTAAACGAATCGGATCCTCCACTCTTCATTCCAGCGATCGCAGCCTGCCTCACGACGCCAAGATACTCTCCTAACCTCCGCTCATCCGGCTGCAGGAAATCGTCGTAGAGTTTGTACCTTGAATCAGCGACGATGTTGGTGAGTTCCAGGGCGACGCAGAGGTTCCAGTATTATTTTATGGCACGCGCACAGGTTAGACCTGTGCCCGTGTGGGGTGACGGTAGTAGACGAACCCTGGGATATGTTCCCTTGACGAGTACAACATGACATGTAACCGAAGGATCAGCTCCGGCACATATATCTGTCTCACCCTCAACATCTCCAGATGTCTTCGATCAACTGCAAATAATGCAACATCAAACACAGCTGTAATATCGCTGAGAGGCAGGATGCGCGCACCTTCTCTATCCGCTGTTTGCTCAAGAAGCATCCAATCTTCTGTCAACAATTTCACGATCGCTTCATAGCATTGTTCGATGAGTCCCTGTTCAGAAGTGAGTGATTCAGCACCAGCCGCGAAGAAAAAGAGAAAGGCATCGCCCGACCTTATAATCTTTCAACCACTCCGCCTTCGCATCCTTATTCATTAGCGATACTACCAACGAGCGACACTAAGTTACACGATCGAGAAGTTCCCAAATATTGAAGAATTGTCGATAATGAAGGTACTCCGTCGCACGATCTTCGGGTTCACTGATCGCCGCGATTTCGGGAGGGAGCCTGTCGAGAAGCTTTCGGGCGAGGTTGACGCGCCTGGTGCCTGTGCGAATGATGGTTAGGAGGAGTATGCCGCAAGTTTGAGGTGATGAAGGGTGAGATACCGAGGAAATACCGTAAGATGACCGTTACCTGCTCGAGGGGTGTACCATATGTAGCTTCCATAAATGATGTCCATTCTATCGAACGCAGAAGTAGCATTTCCACATTCGAAGGTTCAGGTTGCAATGCGATAATAGACGGTAAGGGTCCCCCGAGTGGCGGAAGATGCTGGAGAATGTCAATTCACACGTCGCCCAGAACAGTAAGGACAAAACAAAAACGCACCTCAAACGCTTTTTCGATCGTCCGTTCAGCCGTGACAATGGCAACGGTTTTCACGTCTAGCCCGTGTTCGCGGGCACGTGTCAGAGCCAGTCGTCGTTCTTTGATGTCCGCCAAGAGATCGAGGACGTGAGGAACATGGCGTATCGCTCTACAGCGTTGTCACCCAAAGCACCGGCATACATTGCTATGAGTTCTCTTTGGCCAGCAGCCTGGATGACACGATGGGACTCAGCCCAATATCGGACCATGTGACGTAGGACTGACCTCCAACACCTGGAGATATGCCTCCAGAACAACTCAAGTCGCCCGCGGTGGTGAATCTCAATCATTTGCAGAAAGAGACATAAGCATAAGTGGGCAAAGAAACGGGTCATAGTTGGGTACCTGATGTACTGTCAGAGCAATCATTAAAAATGCAGTAGCGGGACGCACTCGGATGAGTCTGGGTCGTATATGCCATCTCTCAAACCAGTTGCAAAGGTGTCGAGCAATGGCTGTATGCGGTTAAAGATGATGGCAAGTTGAGATACATGAAAGGCGTTGTCCGCCGGAGGTCTGTCAAAAAGTGAGTGAGAGTAAGGAAGAGGGTATACAAATCTTACCCGTCCTCGACCACCACTCCGCCCAGCGTTTCCAGCGCAGAAGTAACTTGCTTCTGCCACTCTTCCTTCTCGTCTTCGTCTGTGCCATTCAAAGGCACCGGCATCTCCTCAAGCGTCGCTGAAGCGCCCTCCCAAAAGCACCCTTTGAGCTTTAACATTTCTGAGCTTTGCTTCTCTTCGCAGAGAATGTTGATTTGGACCCAAAGATGATCCTACCATATGCGACATGCCGACCTGAGGACGGTGAACGTCTGCGGGGTGGGAGTGAGTGCTGCATAAACGACTCGCTCCGGATCAGAAAAGTACTGTTCATTCGCTTCGCACCGCATGAATTCCGCACACACGAATCAAATCAAGACTGTGCAGACGTACTTGTTGCTCGCCATTGGAACAACAACGATCCCCGGATACTAGCAGCTCTCCATGGCTGATGCACTCTGCGACACAGCTCAACCGCGTCGTCAAGCCGTCCAGCTCGAATGAACGAATAGATAGCTTGCGCGAGTGACTTTTCGAATGCCTACGGCGGGTCCATGATTCGCGATCCAGTATAAGCAGACACAGAATTGCACACCGCGTCATCAGCAGCGAGTGTCTTCCGAGATGTATTGATGTAGCTCACATGAAAGTCGGAGTTCTCCAATCTCCAATCCGGTATCCTGCCATAAGTACCGAGTCACATCCAAATCTCTAATAATCCTGGCGTCCAGCTGTCTCCGCCTCCTTCGCCGTGCCATCCCCAACGTCCGCCATATCGGAATCATGGCCTCGTCGACCCTCCCGTCTTTACCCCACGTCCCCGGCACAGATCCGTCGTCGTGCATACTGGATTGCTTCAGGACTGCCATCGCAAAACGCGTCTCAGACGCACTCCCCCCGCTGACCCTCGATCAAGCCTACACCGGCGTCGACTATGGAAAAAAGGGCATGGATTTTACCGTCGCCCTGCCTCGCTTCAGACTTCCCGGAAAACCTGATGAACTGGCTGCGAAGGTGCTTTCCAATGTAAGTGTCTACCTGCTTTCCGATATGCCAGTGGTCCGCGCTGTTAACGTCCCCACGAATTCTGAACGTTCCCCGTATAGTTCCAGCCCGACGATTTCATCGCATCCATTCACCCACGATAAACAATTTCTTCACTTCCAACTCAACAGCGCCAGCCTCATTCGTGAAGTCCTCAATCAAATCCATGCCCTCACGTACGAAAGCCCAACCGGAAAGCCTTCATATGGAACGAATACCTCAGGAGCAGGGAAAAAAGTCGTAATCGAATTCTCATCACCTAATATCGCAAAGTCATTCCACGTCGGACACCTTCGAAGTACCATAATCGGCGCATTCTTGGTCAACCTGTACAAGACTTGCGGATGGGACGTCACATCACTAAATTATCTTGGCGATTGGGGAACGCAGGTACCTCTTCTCTGATGCATATCGTACATATACTCCAACCCACTGGTTTAGTTCGGTATGATCGCCGTCGGTTTTGAGAAATACGGATCCCAGGAGGAGCTTCAAAAGGATGCAATCAAGCATCTTTACGACGTATACGTCAAGGTGTCCCGAGACGCAGAATCCGATCCCAACGTCAAAGTCGAAGCCGCCCAATTCTTCAAACGGATGGAAGATGGCGACGAAAGTGCTCTCGTAAACTGGCGCGTGTGGCGAGAGTTGAGCGTCAAGAAATACATCGAGGAGTACGATCGACTGAACGTCTCGTTTGACCGATACACAGGCGAAAGTGAGGTCGGCAAAGAGTGGCAAGACAAAGCCCTAGAGCAACTCGACCAGCAGGGACTAATCACCGACGTGAATGGCGCCAAGCTTGTCGACCTGGAAAAATGGAAAATGGGTAAAGCGGTTCTCCGCAAAGCAGGTAATCGTACCTTCCCTACATATAGATCATCAACTCACGACGTGATCGAAGATGGTACCTCGATTTACCTAACCCGGGACATCGCTGGTGCGATCGAACGGTACGAAAAGTACCATTTTGACAAGATGATATACGTCGTCGCTTCTCAGCAGGACCTTCACCTTGCCCAGTTCTTCAAAATATTGAGTTTGATGGGCTTCCCCTGGGCCGATCGACTCGAACACGTGAATTACGGATTGGTGTTGGGCATGAGCACAAGGAAGGGTACCGCTGTCTTCCTCAACCAGATCATCAAAGAGGCGTCGTCTGTCATGCACGAGCAAATGAGAAGGAACGAGGACAAGTACAATGCGATCGAGGACCCTGAGATGGTCAGCCAAGAAGTCGGTATCACCGGCATTAAGATCCAAGATATGGCAGCCAAGCGGTACGCAGTAATATCCGCCCCATTACCGATTTCTCCATTGACTTCCCGCCAGGATAAACAACTACACCTTCAACTGGGACAGGATGTTATCTTTCGAGGGCGATACCGGACCTTACTTGCAGTACGCTCACGTGCGCTTGACCTCAATGGAACGCAAGAATCCCGAACTTTTACCGCTGCCGCCCCCATCTCAGATCGACACGTCCTCTCTGGCAGATTCTACGCATGCACGCGATATCGCAATCCTACTCGGGTCCTATCCCGATGTCGTCAAAACGGCTATGAAGACGCATGAGCCTAGCGGGGTGGTCACGTTTGCCCTCCGCTTGTCCCACGCCATCTCTTCCGCTTGGGAGATGCTCGTGGTCAAGGGCGAGAAGGACCTGGATAAGGCGAGGGCGAGGTTATGGTTGTATCTCTGCGCGCGGGATGTTCTTGGTGCTGCGATGCGGTTGTTGAGCATCAGGCCGTTGGAGAGGATGTGATGTTATACCAGTCTAATGGATCAGTCAATGGTTGCCGGACGGGAGGAGGCAGGGCTCCATCATCCGGACTCTGGAACCTAATGTATTTCAATCTCATCGATCAAAATGTAACCTCGGAGGACAGCCCGTCTTTCCAAGACGAAGTGCTTACATATGGGAAATTTTAATACTTAGAAGTTTCAGCTCAGCTGTAATATATGGCTGATGAGGTTGGGCGTAATCAAGGTTTGAAAACACGTCGTGAGAAGGTCTGCTTTGGATCGGATTATCGCAGCTTGTGTACATTCTAATCTCGCTCATCACGGAAATAGTTGGTCATACCAACTCAGAAATGGACGAGTTGGCTTTTGCCTCAGATCGACAACAAAAATACCCCGAGATCAGATCATGGACGTTTCGGGCATCTAATTAATACCTCCCTCTAAGACTCTCGTTTCCGCGGTGAGCTACCGCCTGCTACATCTTCATCCTCCGAAACTTCCCCTGGGAAAATATTAAACCGGAAAATGTGATGGATCAATATTAGTGGACGACACCTTTAATAGACGGAGACGCATCTTCCGCCATTTCTTGGTTTCCGATCAGCAGATCCTCCTCTTGGAACACGTCGTTCCACGACAACTGCTCTTCGTCGTTGGTGGGTTTGGATTCACTCGACTCACCTTCCGAACCCTCTTCGTCTGCGTTATTGACAGCGTCACCCTCGTTCTCCAGTGGAACCACATCCTCAGCGAGGAATGTACACTTTTGCGTGATTGACTGAAGGTTCTGCTTCACGCTCTGTACGGCTGTTTCCTCCGCCTTCTCCTTCCCTTTGCGTCTCTGTTTCGCCTTGGCCTCAGCGTCGTTAAGTGCCTCGGGTCGTTCAGGAGGAGGAACGAAAAAAGGTATGCGTCCTCTAACCCAGTCGCTCAGCATAATCTTGGCAACACCATCCAGATCAGGTTCGCCGCCTTTCAACAAACGTCCCTTCATCCGAGCCAGTGTATTCAAAAAATCTTCAGCTTCCCATCCTCGGCTCGGGTTGTCCGGGTCTGGAAGAGGCACGCCGTACGTCCGCGAGAGATACACGGGCTTAATTCGTTCCATGAGTGTGGGTATGTGTTCCGAGGGGCTCGGCAATGCTTCTACGCGTACCACGCCTTTCAGAACGGTACTGGTTTCTGAGTCATGTGCTGAGGTGGGGACAATGCCAGGGCAGTCGATGAGGTATATGCGCTTGGTAAGGTTGATATACTGCCACACCTGCGGTTAATGTCAGGGATTGATAAACGGTCGGCATGGTATCCAATAAAGCTGTATATACCTTAGTTTCTCCAGGAACGGGTGCGACACGGCAAACTTTTCCGCTTTTGAGAGTGTTGATGATGCTACTCTTTCCAACGTTGGGATATCCCATAAACCCGACCGAGATCTGCTTCTTATCCGAATGAAGTCGCGAGAATTGACGCAATAGTTGGATGAGAGCACCCTTCCCAAAAGAATGGTTCGGCGATGCATGGAAGGCGATGGTGGGATACCTTGGGGTGAGGTGTTGAATGTATCGTGCCTATGCCATTACATTTCTGAGCGTTAACTCGGAATAAGCAAAACGGAACAAAAAAAACGCACCGTGACCCAGTTGGGAACTAAATCACATTTGTTGAGTACCAGTACAACGTGCTTGTGAGCTTTCTCCTTCTTCAAAAACTCTAGTACAGACTCGCACATCGTACCAATGGGATCACGGGCATCCAAAATGTGCAAAATAACATCTGACGAATCTATGACTTTATACAGTTCGCCATATATCCGCCGCGACGTTCCCTTTGCGAAGATTGGGTCACTTTGATCGGCGTAAGCGGACTGGAATCCATCTGCGGCCGGTCGGATGATGTGGGTGAGATTAGACTCGACGATGATGGTAAATGAAAGTACCGGAGGAGCTCCCCGTGGCCTCTTCGAGGGCCGCGGCGCCGACCTTGCTCAACTCCTCGAATGATCCCACGTCAAGCTTCGGACGTTTGCGCTGGGCCTTTGGCCCGAAAGTATCGCTGAACGGTTCTGTGTCTACTATATGCGAGCGCTGTGAATGGAGTAAATCGATGGCAACGAAACGCGGAGTCCCCAGAACACATGCCTTGTGCAAGTTGGGATTGGCTGCATCATCCAGCAATGCCATAGGTAATTTATTCCGATGCAAAAGAACGGAATAAGGATCATCTTTTTTAGTTGATAAACTCGATCTGAAGTGGTCAAGGGCCGACTGGGAGATAACTCTCGTGTTCCCTTGGAAATTTCAGTCTTCCCTTAGAGTTATGATCGTTGATACAGGAAAGAAACTGTACACACCAAACCACCTGCGATCAGGCTGCACACGACCGGGTTTCGTTTCGTTTTCCCCCTTCTGAAATTCGGCGGCCTGAATTATCTTCCCGTCTTTGTCGCGGACAGGCCTTCCGCCTGAAAGCATTTTCACGCGTGCCGCTTGTTTTGCATTGCGATAGAAATTTTCTCCTTTGATTTTCTTCAAGGTAACGTCTTTGGATGGCGTCTTTTGTTTCTTCGTTGCCCCCATGGTTGTACTGCCAGTCGACAGATTTTACTTTGAACCTTGTTTGTAGAGTTGTCTTGCCGGCAATACCCGTGTCACTACTCCACCTATCGGGCCAGCAGGTCCAAGACGGTCAACGGGTCAAAGCACACGACAGATAACAACTATATATGATCTGCATCTAAACACCGTCATCGCGGCCGTCTTCTAGCGTGCTTAGCAGATCCATTCCATTGTTTCCGATAGTACTGTAGGAGCGTACGCCGCCGTCGAAATCACAGCTCTACTACTAAGGATGATCGCACCAATAAAGTAAAACCTATATTTTACATGAGTACTAGAGCAATCGTCGAAACAGCTGCGGCCCCGAGCACTGCGTAGCCCGCCCTGTATGCCGACTTCAGAGTCAAGACTGGGTACATGTTATCAGCCCCATCATAAACAAGAAAAGAAAAGAACAAATCAATAGACATACCCTTTCCCATATCCCATGCGAGATGTCGGAGACCGTTTAAAGAGTGGAAGGCGAAAGGTGCAGCCAGGATGAATTTACCCGCATACTTCGCATATTCAGGTAACCCCACAATGAGCTCGACTATATGCGTGCTATCAAACGTGCCAGGTGCGAAGAGGTACGCCAAAGAAAAACCGTAGAGCACTGATCACAACATCAACAAGACACTCCATACCTCCTTCAAACTGCCGACTCACATGCGCTAAGAGCACCACCAGTGGCACGGTTGGCTATGGAGGAAAGCCATGTTAATTGTGGCTGATAAATGGTAAAGTGAGGGCTTGATGGTCGCTTGAGCCGCTGCTGGTTCAGAATTTCCTGCGAGGCTGACGGCGGAAGAGACTCCGTATGAATGCCTCTATAATTTGTTCAGTACGCAGCGCTGTCTCGTTCGAGTGCTGAGGCTCACCGCCTAACGAGCGCAGATTGCAGGGCAATGTTGCGGGCTGATCAGGTAAGCCCGCACTCAGAATTGATGGATACAAATAACATTTTACACCCACTGTGTTTTGAAGACAACGCCGCTCTTTTCAAGGTTTGAGGAATGCCGACGCGAACGGACATCATAGTGAAATGGAGACCTTCGACTTGACGCCAACTGCGGCAATAGACGGAAGGTGAGCCGTGGGAAAAATCCTGAGTTCATGCGCACTCCTTATCACATGCGAACCTCATACCACGCAAGAGACTAGGCCCCCGAAGAGTACATAGTGTGCATGCTTTTTCGATTCACTGCCCCTGCCAACGGCTCGTTTGCTATTTACGTTCAAACCAGCATCACCAAGCAGGAATCAGTGTCATCACAACAAACATAGGGTGTCCTGCAAAAGCTTCTTTAGACAAACGGAAGACTCCAGCTCAGGGGACTTCAGGGGACTCCTGCCTGTTGTTGTTGTCTAAAACGTAAGGAGTTCCTTCACTAACCAACATCTAATACTGTAATTTGACTCATGGTGCACTGATCATTAGCAAGTCCTGCGAGGAGATCAATAGACAGTACCCAGCATGCATGTCTATATGTGGTCGACTACGGCCTACACACGACTGTCTTGAGAAAGGTAACGAGTGGAGATGTGGAGAGATACGTGATATTCAGATGGGTGAGGAGAAACGTCAGGTGGGAGGAGGCCACCACATGCAGATTAATGATGGAGTGAGAGGTCGGACAGCATAATAACCAAGACCCAGGACGTGGGTGCTATCCTCACATCATCGCACTCGCAATCTGTTGTAGCTGCACCGCCATCTGCGGATAAGTCTTCACGAACTGCAATTGCGCCTTGCTAGCCTCCAGATATGTCAATGCAGCAACGAGCTCTGCCTCGCCTCGTGCAAGATCGACTTGCTTCTCGAACCATTCGATCGCAGTTTCCATTTCACCCTTTTGTAGGGCAAGTTGGGCAAGGGTTGCTACCGCTGGTTCACAAGAGGAGTCGATCGCAAGCGCTTCGCGGCATAGTACTTCGGCACGATCGATGTCCTTGTGCCATTGGAACATTGCCAAAGCCTTATTGACAAGGGGAAGTGGGTTCGGCGGGGACCTACAAAGCAGTGAGGAACGTCCGAAGAACAAACGTATACACGTTGACTGACTTGGCTTTATCGAGTTCGATCGCTCTATCGAACTTCTCTACTGCGTCGTCGAACCGTTGCTGATCCAGTAATAGCTCGCCACTACAGGTACACGTGTCCGCATGTCAGTAACCACGTTTGCAAGATCAAGCGGAGGACCCACTAATAATTGCATACTTCAGCGCGATTGGGGAACGCCGTCATGGTCCGTCTGAAGGTCGCCATACTATTGGAGACGTTTCCCATCTTGTACTGTGCTACTGCCAACTGTATATGCGAGAACACGAACGTCGAATCGAGTGACGTCGATTTGGTGTAGTTTTCAGCGGCAGCAGAGTAGTCGTTCGTGATGAAGTGGACTGGGCAGACCAACACAAACCAAGTCAGTCGCAAAAATAAAAAGACACAGACAAAAGAACCCGACGAACCCTGTCCCCGATGGTAGTACACATCCGGATCCGACGAATCCACCTTAATGGCCTGCTCGAAGCACTCCATCGCCTGTGCGTGGTTCCCTTCCTCCATATGCACGCTTGCAAGTTTAACTAGTGATTGAGTCAAGGATGGGTTCAACGCAAGTGATTCTTCAAGGTCTGCTTTCGCGCCCTTAATATCCGAGGTAAGGAACCTAAAGGCGAACCGAATTGGTGAATCGCGAGAGCTACTGCTAGAGTACCCACTTGAATGTTCCCCGTAAATTCAAAGCCTCCGCGCGCCCGATATCCCATGACACACCCTGATCGACGGCCTCATTGACAAGCGAAAGGGCGTGTGCGTAATCTGCTGCTTCGAGGGCATCCAGAGCCAGCAGCAATGTCTGGTCCCCTTGTGATGACGTCTCCGGCGGCGTAGGCTGTGCACCTGTGAGCACAGAAAATGTGCAACTCAGCACTGCAAAACTTGAAAAACCCAAGTTACGCACGTTTCCGGAAGGCAGCGAAGTAAGCAGAAATAAACGTCTGTGAGGGCAATCTCGGATCTCTCGTCTAAATGATAGCGAGATTAATGCTTCTCATCCACCGAGACTTACGAAGCGAAGCAAATAGCCGACTCACAGCCGCAATAGTCTGTGCCTTCTCTGTCGCGAGTTTCTTGAGTACTCGTTCCACCGACTGCGCTGCTGCCTCATTTTGGAATTTGTCGAGGATGGTAGCTGCAGTAAAGTCTGCAGAGTTGTTGGATTAGTACGAATGTTCAGACAAATGCTGGGCGAACGAAAACTATGTTCCAGGCATCGTACTCACCTCTGAGAGACTCTGCGTACCGACTAAGAGCCTCGAGAGCGTTGGCACGCCTGTTCAAGGCTTTGATATAGTTCGGGTCATGCCGGAGAGCCGCATCACAGTCCTCTACGACGAGCTCAAATTGCGGCGGCGACATGTTCAAATAACCTTAACCATAGACGCATGTCAGTAATAAAGGTAAAATAGCCAGGGGGAAAAAAATCACGAACAGGCAGCTCGGTTGCTGTGAAATATAGGCTCAGGTTTTGGAGAGACTTGGATGGCTTGGGTGTATAGCTCTGCTGCCTGAGTGAACCTCCGAGCTTGGTATTGGGCGTTACCCCGGGACTTGAGGCTACCCGCTCGTTTTATACGATCCTGACATACGCGAGGTAAGTTTTACATCCAGACAATGTATGACCAGGAATGGGGTGGCTTACGTCGACGGACATAGCGGCGATCTCTTCGAGTGTCAGCGGGACGTTTTCTATGCGCCTGGATGTCAGCAATAGACTATATACACGTCAAGTATATACGCACGCTGTTCCTCCTCAGGCTTGATTTCCTCTAAGATAGGACCGTCCTGGTCGCCGACAGACTTTCTCTTCTTGGAAGAAGACTTGTCTTTCCTCTTGTCCTTTTGTCTGTCCTTGCCAGACCCGGGACGGTGAGGGGAGGTCGTCGAGGCATAGTACGCCGCTGCGCCAAGTGCGACGGCGGCTGCCGCAGTGCAGACCAAGATAGCGCGTCTGTTTTCTGACACAAAGTCCTGCAGACGGTCCAGGTAAGACGGCGGGGGGGTCACGCTCAGGTCCTGAGTTGCTGTTGTTGTGGGTGCCATCGTCGACGTTGCACTCGACTCCTGCGTCGGCCAAATCTCAGAAGCGAAAACGTGGATTTTTGTTGCCGGATTCGTGGGAATCGAATTACGTCACGGAAACGGTATGTACCATATATAGAAACCAGTGTGTCTCCAAAGTTGACCACAAAGAAAAAATATAAGATAAAACATGAACATGGATCACCGCTCGCCACGTCGTTCTTCGACGACAGCTGTCACCCAGCGCACCAGAGTGACTTCTAGCATCGATTCCCACCCTTCCTCTCTGCGCGCGACAAGACGCGGATCGAAGTGGATGGGCGTTTCATTCGTAGAGAAGCGAATCCTTTGCGCTGTGGGTGTCGATGGACTGCTGGGTATACCACGGCCGGGAGATGCATTACGCGCCGGCGAGGACGAGGGCGTCATGTGGTCGGGGCGACCTGGTGCAGAAGGAATGATGAGGGGGAGGAGGTATCGCAACTTGAGGGCTCTGCGCGGCCATAAGTCAAAGAAGACAGACAGGGGGAAGAGAACTCACCCAGCCCACAGCCGAAGGTTATCGGTCCTTCTAAATGTCCATCCAGTCGCTCCTTTTTCATCCACACCCTCTGCATTCTGCTCCAGAGATATAATGTCGTGAATAGAATCGACACTGATGAACCCCCATGGCTTGCGGGAGCGCCTCACACCCGTGTTATATGCCACACACAGTGGTTGCCCCGATGACAGGACACGAAGCAAGGCAGTCCTTTCGAGTGGAGATGGAAGAACACAACGAAGGTATTCCGGTAAGAGAGCCTGTAAGAGAGCGTAGGCGCGCCCTGATATGGCGAACGGATCGACGTTAACACCAATTTCGGACACGGTTAGAATACTAACCGATGACATTATCTGTAAACGAAGACCGTTTGGCCCACTCCGGGAGATCGTCTTCGTCCGTGCTCTCCTCTTCTGACTAGGGTCTCCATTTCTCCAGGTTCCTCGGACAGCGTCATTGCTTGCAGCGAATCCATGGAAACAACCCGACGCGCCGATGACGGCCGCTCACAAGGGAAACGGAACGAATTAATATCACCTGCGCTTACTCGGCGACCCTTGCTCCGACTCTCGCGATCCCGTTTCGCAACACGTTCGCGTGCCCTCTCCCACCCACGCTTCCCATCCCTTTGCCCATCGAAAAGTACGTCATCGACGAGATCCACATACCGCTGAACGATGTCCCGTTCCTTGCCTAGATCCTGCAGCCGTACGTCCTGTTTATACAGCCATCCACCGCCTAGAACAAGCTTATCGTCCCACCGCTCACGTGTCTCCTGCTCCTCCTCGTTAACGTGAGTTTCCTGTTCAAATTCATCCTCCCACACCGGGATCGAGTCGTAGCGACCCTGGACGCGGATAAACGATATCGACATATCTGGATCAAAAGCTTGCGAATCAATCTCGTCATCAGATACGCCACTCGGTGAGGCGACACGCGAATGCGGATTCTGTCCATGCGACGAACCATGATCGCTCTGGGCATCATACACTTCGTCCGTCAACGGTACTCTCGAGCGTTCCTCGAGTTCGCGAAGTGCAGACAATACCTCCAATGCCGACTTGCGAATCATCGATAGAGGATCTGGTTGTGCGCTCTGTCTGGGTTTGTTCCGTTTGACGGGATCGCCTGCTGCGATCTTGTTGCGATACTGATTGCGAATTGTCCCAGCGGAGTCATCCGGGAGGGCGATCACGTAGTTGCGCACGGAACGAATAGCACGTGTCGTTGTCTTGAGAATGCCTAGAACATCAATGTGGCTGTTTGATGGCGATACACATGGGGTGTCAGCGGTGCTGGAGAGATCTAGTTCCCAAACGCGAGTCGTTGCGACGAGATCGTCTATGACGCCTGGAAGGAACGCGTCCGGATCCGTCTCGTATGTCTTGACAAAGGGCGGGAATGTTTGTGGTCGTGATTCGGGGATGACGGGGGACGGAGGGAGCTCGAAGTCCTGTATGGTATCTAATGACGACGGTGCATCTGTCTTGAGTGATAGCCCACCAATCGCCGGGACGAATTGGCCCTGGAGCTTATTGGATGGTCTGTGCGGGGGTGCGGCGTGAGGACGGACGCGAGAGAGAAGAAAACGTACGTCGTCTTTGCAGCAAGGCCAGTCTTGGTAAAGTAGTGCTGGAGATGCTCGATGCTCCCCAATGCCATGACACTCTGTCGTTTGGCTGCACTTCGACTGAATGGTTTTACTGGTTTGTTGCTTGCATTGCTATTGGGATAGAAGGCAATCTGGCGACGAGACCCAGCCGGTTTCTTGGCTGCAAGCAGATCCATGGTCTGTGCAGAGTCTCCTAAACCTGAGCCTGTGATGTCCGGCGTCAGTGCTGGCGGTGTCAACGACGGGTCCGACGCCATGCTCGTCGTTGTCGGCAGTCAAGCCGGAAAAGGCAGTCATGATTCCTGATCCGGGGGGGTCACTTTGTAGGGGGTCAATTAATGCCATCATGCTCGGCAGCTGTCCTTTCCCTTGCAGCAGCGGATGGAATTTCATGGCACATGCAAAAGACAGGCATTACTGGTTTCAGCTAAGAACAGCACTCACAGCAGGTCGCTGGGGCTCTGAAACACCAGCCCAAGCCCCCAATGCATCGCCGTTGTCGTGGTCGAGGTTGTTCTACAAGTTTAACAAACACTGCAAGGGCTTCCAGGACTGTAGCACAGATCGCCGCGCAGACGAGGTTGCTTTCATTGTTGCTAGGTGCAAACTCGGTGGACGAGGATGCGTTGGGGAACGAACAGGCCGGGGAGTTGAGGTTGGGAGACGAGTGTGTACTGGCACCAGAGCGCGTCGAGGAAGCAGCTGGAGGCTATCAGACACTCCAGAGCTTGGAGAGCAGCAATCCATCTGACGTGAGTTTGTCTATTTTTCTCGGGCGTGCATTGTGTAACCTTCACCTTCTCTCGCAGTCTCTCCATCTCGCGTTGGCATATTACGCCTACGCGCTCGGACGACCAGAACAGTGCTTGGCTCACTTGTCCAAAGTTTCCAAGCTGGTGGACGCTCAAAGTCACATACCTGTTACACCTTCGAGCCGAGCCGAGGGCCATACCCTCCAGATACCTGGTTCTGTGACTGCATCGTCATCCCCCTTGACGGGCAGCTTTGTCTCTGCCATTTCGTCTCCATTACTCCCCGACATCTCAAATGGGAGGGCATGGGCAATCATGGAATCACTCCGAAGCATATGCTTACAAGGTAAGATCCCCTTCTGTTTTTTCCTTACCCATCGACGAATATCGCCATTCTAGGCATGTCCTATGAGACCCTCTACCCCTCGGATCCAGAAAAAGCCATCGAAGCATACGCAGTTGCCCTTCCTCTACTGAACATTATTCAATTCACGATTCCCCGAGCACCCGATGCTCAGCCTTTACTGACGTCATTTACGCATTATCGCGAACTGTGGCGGTGGGCAGAACGACTCATGTTTCGCGCAATTACTCTTATTGCCCGCACGCGGCCTTTGGACGAACCGGAGAGCTTGATATGGATGTTCTTCACTCATTATCAAGCGTGTGGAGCCTTTTGGATACCGACGTTCAGATTCCCTTATAGGTCTATCGTGGCTGTGCTGCATCTCCGTGCCCTTATACTCAAACACCGCACCCCTTCCGAACGCGCGCCGCTGAATACCTCCCTGCGGCCTCAGAAACTCCCGCGATGGTTAAGTGTGGCGCGTTCTGTCGCACACGATTACAAATCCATATTGGACGAATGCACGCATTTCCCGAGAGCCGGAGAACGGAATGTCAAGGTGGAAGATTTTGTAGACCTATGCGTCGCTGTGTGGGAAGCAAGTCGGTCCGTGTCCGATTGGGCAGATTGGGTTATTGATGTAAGTGAAACACATCCATGCCTTATGCTTGTGCCAAAAGTGTCAATGCTGTATAGACCCTTTGGTGGGCGACGAAACTAACGTTCAACTCGTACCGCATCTTCCGACATATGAGTCGGTTGCTTTATGTCACCGGAGACAGCGAACTTCCGAAGCGCATGCTGCGATTGTATGTCGAAGTAGTCGGAAAATCTTGTGAAGCGGGCATTGACGACGACTACGATACGGATCGCCACTGGGTAGAGACCCTTGTCGAAGGCTCTAGGATGCTATGTCGTCTCGCGATCTCCCGACCTGGCTGGGATGGCGTTGAAGAGGCCAAGGAAGCCGGCGACTTCATTGAAAAAGCGAAGACGCGTTTGGATCGAAACGACAAAGAACTCGTTGCCAGGGTTGCGCTTGCGGAAGGGGTCTGGCATACTATTTCTGGAATTATTGGTGAGTCATACTTTTTTTCAATTGCTCGTGACGATCGCAGCCGCCGATGTCGAAGCTAACGGCACGCAGGTGTGGATTTACGAGAGCGTCCCAAACGATTCGCGCTTGCCCTTGAGCAGTTTGTAAAGTCCGTCGGGACGTATCCAACGCCAGCTGCGCATCATCACCTTGCTATTTCTTTGGCGCTTCCTGGACCCTCCCAGGACCTGAAACAGGCCATAACTGTCGCGGGCGCGGCGGTGGAGGGGGAGGCGCTTGAAATTCGGCACTGGCACCTTCTCGGATTACTTTTGACAGCGGAAGGACAATGGGATAAAGCCAAGAGCATACTTGAAATTGGAGCCAACATCGGTGAGGCAACCTTGGAGTCCGACGAAAATAGTACTACCGAACAAGAATCTAAGCCGAGTGATGTTAAGGTCAAGGACTTCGAGACCGAGAAAATTCCCTCTGAAGTCTCCGAAAAATCTTCCCGTCCGGCAGACGCTAGCGACATTGGCGAAATGCCTGCACCTGATCGCGAGTTCAAGTTTTGGGAACCCCTGCTTGACCCCAATGCGAGGTCTATACCACCTTCGGCGACACTGTTGCAGCCGCTACCTGATCACCCACCACCGTCGCGAGTCGATGCGTTCGAGTATGCGTTACAGCTGAGGCTGACACAGATGGCGCTTACGGAACACGTGGAAGGCGCTGAAGGTGCGGAGATCAAATGGGTGAATGTGTATGGCTGGATAGCGGAAAGGAAGGGGTCTGTATCAGAGACACCAAGTGAGTTCCTTTTCGTATTTTAATATATGGCCGGGGCTGGACACCTTCGTAGTTCGGTCTTCAGTAGACACGAGCTCCAGGACGACGACTACGCAGTTAGGATCAATGGTCATTGTCTCAACGCCCCAGGAATTGGAGAATGAGAAACAACCAAGCGGCGAGCCTTCAGGAACTCTGGGACTGATTACAGCACCAGAGGGGACCCCACCCCCGATCACTGTGACCCCAGCGACTCCGGCAGATGCTGATCACCGATTCTCTATTGGTAGCGAGCCTCAGGAACAATTGAGGCGGTCAGCGTCGATGGGTGCGGACCCTTCCACGGGGAAGAAGGTACAGCAAATGTTGAAAGACCGTGTTCACAAGGGGCAAGAGAAAATCAGTACCATATCGAGGAAAATTGGGTACGGCGTCGGTAGGAGTAGCAGTTTACATCTCAAACGGTCGAGCTCCGCTCCGGGTAATCGGGCCGTCGTATACCACTTCACACATACTCACCCAGCACCCATAGATTTTCAGGCTGTGCTTCGGAATCATCAGTATCAAGCATCTTCGATCCATTCCCGGCGAAGGTTGCGTTCACTTATTCGACATCACCATCGCCATGAGTCTCCTGTGGAATCGCCACCTGCGCCCCCGCCACCCAGTTTACCTCCCGTGCAAGAACCTAAGACGAGTCAGCGGGCGACCAGGGAGGACAAATTGCTGAGTGATTTATGGGCTGCATCAGCTGCGACATTCCGTAGGACGGGTAAGATCGACCAGGCGAAAGGTGCTATCCAAGAGGCCGAAGTGAAAAACCCTGACAACCCTAACGTGTGGGTGCAGGTGTGTCTCCTTTGTTGGTACCCTTGATGTGGCCGCGTCTGATTGCCGCCGAAGTTCGGATTATACCATTACGCTCTAGGTCACGAGCGACAAGCAACACAGGCATTCCAGAAGGCATTATTTATTTCCCCGGACGACGTTTCTGCTGCTGTTCATATGTCTCGGATATATCTTGATTCGGCGTCGGATGGCGACATCGACATGGGTAAGATAGATCTGACCGCGGGGCTGCTAGGATACATCACTCGTTCTCGAGGGTGGAACGTGCCAGAGGCATGGTATTACCTCGCAAAAGCGTACGGTCTGCAAGGCCGCAAGGAAGAAGAGCGAGAGTGCCTGGTGAAGTCGTTTAAGCTGACGGAACAGAGGTGTATCAGGGACATCGGGCTTGCAGTGGGGTGGTGTTTGTAGGCCGTGGTAGCTAGGATCTTTCTTCCGAATGGTTCTTGCATATTCCATAATTTGACTCTGGATCTACAGAATATGTGTCACACCTCCGGTATCGGGCAACACTTACATATCAGTAAGGAAAGTATTTTTTCTGTTTCGAACGGGAGTGGGGCCCGCGCGAAGAAACCGCTAAGTTGAAAATGTAACAAGAGGCACGCCACCAAATCCCGCGCACTATTAGTACACAGCGCTTGAATGAGGGGGTAACGTCTTGACGCAACTGTGGCCAACAGGGTCAAACCCCCGTTGGAAATTTTGCCGTGGTGCTGTCGTTATTGACCCCTTTTGTTAAAAGGTCGAGGCTGTATTCCCTTTGCCTTGATCGTATTTATACTCGGCCTGAATTTACCTCCAAGTCCCCAGTCAGTGCAGCTCTAATGGCATCCACATCTACCATCCCCCCCGAAACCAAAGAGCTGATTTCTCAAATAGAGGGCATCCTCCATAACCTGGATGTGGCGACGCGCAAGCTTAGAAAATCATGTCTCCCAGTCGAGGAGATACCGCGGATTGGCGCATTGCTCGACACCGCGGAGGATCGACGTACGGAGATCGTTGCCAACGTCCGTATGATTCGCGACAGGCTACGTTGAGTGAGTGTCCCCCGTAGAAGTGTATGGCCTGTTGCTGACTGGTTTTTTGGTGCCTTGCTGTGGCTAACGGTTTAGTGTCCCCTTCGCCATTGTCGAGACAGACTTCGACAACGAGTGGGTGGAGGGCATGTAGTCGGGAAAAGTAGAAACGCGAGCGGAGGAGGTTGCGTGGTGAAGTCCAACACGGGCTTGTGGCTGATGTGGCCAAGTTAGATGTAACGATCCATGTTCCTTCTCCGTGGAATACCAGGATGACAGTGACTATGCCGAGTGGCGAACTCCATATAAGGTCCAATTTACGCCAGCACCTCATTGTAGGGATTCAAAAAGCCGTCCGTTCCTCGCTGCATGCGTTGACGTGGACGAGAAAGTCTCGGTGCGAGGCAGCTATAAACAAGCTATGCTACACAAGGAGACTGACCTCACATTACACCTTGATGAGGAGACATCGATGGGTCGAGTGCCAGCAGAGTCTGTACGGTGGAAACTGAAACTAGGGAAACAGAATGATATACCCCCACCTCCCCCCGGAGCTGTTGTTAGATCTTCGGAGGTGGAACCCATGTCGCCCCCCCCGTCGCACGGTTTGACGACGAGTTGGAAAATTAGGAAATACGTATGAATTTGAATTTGAAGACTAAAAACCGACCTGCAACGAAGGAACCGCAGTCGAGAGGAGAATGACGAGGTCGATGAGACCGGGAGTCAGATCTCAGTAAAGGAGGGCTTGTTGAGTAAGAAGCAGAGGGTCGTCACTTAAACTACATCGTCTATTGTTCTGTTCATCTGTACTTACTTTGCCTGTCTCCGATATGGACATGGACAATTCTTAGTGGGTTTCCGTGGGCAAACTTTCCAACGTTAATTACATAAAGGGGCTTACTTCCAGCGCTGTTACTAGTTGTCCACAGGTAATCGTGGCAGTTACCATGATGGCGAGACGCGAATACATACGGAACTCGCAGTCGCGGGTGCAGCGCCTTTAATAGTGTGGGCACTAGCCTATCTATGGAGCTTGAGTTGCAAACTGTCTCTGGTATCCAGATTCCACCCTGCCAGTGAGTGAGCGCGGGAGCCACAATCGTCATATCCATATTTGGAATTTCAGATCTGTTTCGATCCTGCTTATGGAATCCTCTAAGATTATCCTTCAAGCCAGTGTCATGTATTTTGACAGCGACAACGGGTACACACGGTAGTACTATTATCCGAAAAAACGGGACTATAAAGCAGGCGGGGATTTAAGAAGATGATCATAATAACGGTTCTTGAACTCAGACGTGGGAACCCCTGCTTGACCCCAATGCAAGGTCTATACCACCTTCGGCGACACTGTTGCAGCCGCTACCTGATCACCCACCACCGTCGCGAGTCGATGCGTTCGAGTATGCGTTACAGCTGAGGCTGACACGGATGGCGCTTACGGAACATGTGGAAGGCGCTGAACGTGCGGAGGTCAAATGGACGAGTGTGTATGACTGGATAGCGGAAAGGAAGGGGTCTGTATCAGAGACACCAAGTGAGTTCCTTTTCGTATTTTGATATATATCCGGGGCTAGACACCTTCGCAGTTCGGCCTTCAGTAGACACGGGCTCCAGGACGGCGACTGCGCAGCTGGGATCAATGGTTATTGTCTCAACGCCCCAGGAATTGGACAATAGGATCGCTTAAAGTTGGCGCATACGCCTACAGCACGATTACCGCAGGTAAGCTGTAGGCGTAAGTATCAGCGCCAACTTTGAGCGACGCTAATGAGAAACAACCAAGTGGCGAGCCTTCATGTTCTCTGGGACTGATTACAGCACCGGAGGGAACGCCGCCTCCGACCACTGTGACCCCAGCGACACCAGCAGACGTTGATTACGATCCTCTATTGGTGGCAAGCCTCAGGAAAAATTGAGGCGGTCAGTGTCGATGAGCGCGGACCCTTCCACCGTGACGGGGAAGAAGGTACAGCAGACGTTGAAAGACCGCGTTCACAAGGGGAAAGGGAAAATCAGTACAAGATCGAGGAAAATTGGGCGTGGCGTCGTTCGAAGCAACAGTTAACATCTCAAACGGTCGAGCTCTGTGCCGGGTAATCGGGCCGTCGTGTTTCCTCCACACATACTCACCCAGTACCCCAGTATTGAGCATCTTTGATCCATTCCCGGCGAAGGTTGCGTTCACGTATTCGACATCACCATCGCCCTGAGCGTCCTGTGGAATCGTCACCTGCGCCACCGCCACCCACTTCACCTCCCGTGCAAGAACCCAAAACAAATCACCGGGTGACGAGCAAGGACAGATTACTGAGTGTCCATGCGAAAGGTGCCATCCAGGAAGCGGAAGTGAAAAACCCTGAGAACCCTAACTGTGGGTGCAGGTGTGTCCCCTTTGTTGACACCCTTGATGTGGCCGCATCTAATTACAGCCGAAGTTCGGATAATATCATTACGCTCTAGGTCATGAGCGATAAGCAACATAGGCCTTCCAAACGGCGTCATTTCTTTTCCCGGACGACGTTTCTGCTGCTGTTCACATGTCTCGGATCTATCTTGATTCGGCGTCGGATGGGGACGTCGACATGGATAAGGCAGATCCGACCGATGGGCTGCTAGGATACATCACTCGTTCTCGAGGGTGGAACGTGCCAGAGGCATGGTATTACCTCGCAAAAGCGTACGGTCTGTAAGGCCACAAGGAAGAAGAGCGAGAGTGTCTAGTGGAGTCGTTTGAGCTGATTGAACAGAGATGTATCAGGAACATCGAGCTTGCAGTGGGGTGGTGTCTGTGGGCTGCGGTAGCTAGGATCTTTCTTCCGAATGGTTCTTGCATTTCTTGAGATTGACTCTGGAACCACAGGACATGTGTCACCTCTGGTATCGGGTAATGCTTACATATCAGTAAGGAAAGTATTTTTTTCTGTTTCGAATGCAGAGCTGGGATCGCGCGAAGAAACTGCGAAGTTGAAAATATAGCAAGAGACAGGTTATGCTAGGAGGTGATAAGTCTAGTTGCCGAATCAGGCACGCCACATTCGAACGAGAAGGTGACAACTTGACCCAACTGTGGCCAACAGGGTCAAATCACCGCTGGAATGGTGCCGTTGTTATTGACCGCTTTTATTAAAAGGTCGAGGCTGTATTCCCTTTGGCTTGATCGTACTTATACTCGGGCTCAATTTACTTCCAAGTCCCCAGTCAGTGCAGCTCCAATGGCATCCACATCCACCATCCCTCCCGAAACCAAAGAGCTGATTTCTCAAATAGAGGTCCTCCTCCATAACTTAGGTGTGGCGCTGCACAAGCTTAGAAAATTATGTCCCCCGACCGAGGAGGTATCGCCGATACGCGCATTGGTCGACGCCGCGGAGGCTCGACGTACAGAAATCCTTGCCAACATCCGTATGATTCGCGACAGGCTGCGGTGAGTGACTGCCCCCCCGTACAGGCGTACGGCCTGTTTCTGACTAGTTTTGGGCGCCTTGCTGTGGCGAACGGTTTAGTGTCCCCTTCACCTTTGTCGAGACAGACTTCGACAACGAATGGGTGGACCGTATGCAGCCGGGAATAGTCGAGGCGCGCGGGCAGGATGGCCACCCCTTCTTGCGTGGTGAAGTTCAACACGGGCCTGTGGCTGATGTGGCCAAGTTAGGACGTAACCATCCGTATTCCCTCTCCGTGGAATACCAGGATGACAGTGACTACGCCGAGTGGCGAGCTCCATACAAGGTCCAGTTTACGCCGGAACCCCACTGTAGGGATTCACAGGGCCGTCCGTTTCCCGCTGTATGCGTTAATGTAAACGAGAAGGGCTCGGTGCAAGGCAGCTATAAACAAACTATGCTACACAAGGAGACTGGCCTTATATTACACGGTGATGAGAAGACATTGATGGGCCCGGTGCCAGCAGAGTCAGTGCGGTGGAAATTGAGACCAGAGAAAAAGAACGATACATCTGCACCTCCCCCCCGCGTTGTTGGATCTGCGGCGGCGAAGCTCATATCGCGCCCCCCTGTCGCACGGTTTGACGACGAGTTGGAAAATTAGGAAATACGCATGAATTTGGCGAATGAAGACCGACCTGCAATGAAAGAACTGCAGTCAAGATAGGGGGAGGAGAATGACGAGGTCGATGAGACCGGGAGTCAAATCTTGGTAAAGGAGGGCCTGCCGAGTAAGAAGCAGAAGGTCGTCACTTGAACTACATCATCCATTGTTCTGTTCAGCTGTACCATTACTATCCATTGTTCTGTTCGTCTGTTCCACTCATCCACTTACTTTACGTGTCTCCGATATGGTTATGGACAATTCTTAACGACTGTGCAAGTCAGTGGAAGATTTGGCCAAATTACCGGCCGTGACAACTCGCAGGATTCGAGGTGGTTCTCTTAACTATCAGGAATGGTTGTTCCCAGAGGCAATGTGGCACAGATGGGGACAAGAAATGGACTTCTTGCGAAAACGGATGCGATGGTCCACAGAGCTCCCAATACGGAAGTCACGACTTAGACTGACCCCCAACATTTTAATGACGGACCTTTAGGAAAACAGATTATTAACGCACCTGACACTAGTGGATTGCCATGCGGAACCTTCCCAACGTCAATTAAAGGGACCTATCCCAGCGCTCGCTCTACGCGTTCAACCAGTTAGCCAGGGGGAAAGAGTGTATGGTGCTTATGGGAAAGGATCTATGTGTACTTAGTGAGGTATGATATCGCAAGGGGCAATGATTGAAAGGACTGGGCGAAAACTGGTAGGATGTTCCAGCCCGAAGCCAAGACCCGAGTCATCGAGCTGTGCTGTGAGGGTGGGCTGGGTGCCGAACAGGTTCGCTTCGAGCAAGACGTCGAGTTTTAGGCGTCGGACAATGAGCTGTTAACTCAGCTGCTTTGGACGGACTGTGGGCGGGAGCGGTGGGTGGGAACGAAGAAAACGAGAGACTAATGTGCAGCTCAGCTGAGCCACGAGACGAAAGTGAGAGTACGGAGAAGAGAAGCGATAAGCCGACTGTATTCTCACGCGTAGACTATATTCTCAGTACGCTACGTGCCTTCGCTACTGAGAATTGCCTGTCCACTGCATGTAATCGTGGCGGTTACTACGATGACAAGACATGAACACCTACAGCACTGGCAGTCGCGGGTGTAGCACCCTGAATAGTACTTGTGGACACCGCCTGTTTACGGAGCTTGAATTGCAAGCTGTCTCTGGTATCCAAATTACACCCTGCCAGTGAGTACTTGAGTGGGCAGCGGGAACCACATATATCTTATCCATCTTTGGAATTTCAAATCTGTCCGATCCTGCTTATGTAATACTCTAAGATCATCCTTCAAGCTTCAAGCTTGCTGGCAGTGTCATGCATTTCAACAGCGACAGCGGGTGCATACAGTGGCCCTACATCCGAGACAGCGGGACTATTGAGCAGGCGGGGATTCAAGAAGATGATCATAATAACAGTTCTCAGACTCAGATCTTCCATTGGCCCACGGTGGGTCCCACGATAGGCTATTGATATCCTCTTATTGTCCGGCGTGGCGTGCTTTGACCTTAATGGTCCTCGTCCTATTGGTTTGTCATTCCTCCATAATAAATATTGTTGGTCCACATCGTGTTCCACAGTAGGGTTGGAGGCACGTCGCCAATGCACCCGACCGCCCACCGCTTTGGCACGGTCAAAGCGAGGGTCTGTCCACGGCCTTTAATTTGCTGCACAAGTGAGTACCGCGAAACTCTTCACTCCTCCCTTCCACTATCTGCATCCATCTCCCCAATTTTCTCTGGAGACTTTTCTGTCCTTCTCAGCACAGAATGCGCATGCATCGTCCAACCGCAATATTTGGTAGCGACCCCCAAGCCCTTGCTCGTATCTCTCCTTCGCGGGCCGCAGATTACCTTAGGTGCTTCATCACCACGGTGGCAGGCACGGTCCCCAAGCTTCCTGCATTGGGGCTAACCATAGAAGAAGTTAATGAAGCTAGCCTTATGCTTGACATCATCGAACGGACAGACCCCACTCTGTATGTCGTTTGCCCCGCTGTCCGTGCTGTTGAGCTATTGTCTAACACGGCACCACGTTGAAGGCGACAACTGCAATCCGTTTCCAAGCAAATCGCAGATATTGCGACGACGATTCAGCAGCAACAGACAAACATGACCTTCACGGTTGAAATTCTCTGTCTCATGGTCGAGGTCCTGCAGAACCATGCCCCCTCCGTCATTGCTGACGTGTTCAAGGCCTGGACTCGCAGCACCTGCGGCATCTCCTCTTCGGCCCCCTCCTCTCCCGACAAGGCACCCATCTTCCCTGATTCCGAAGAATTCTCTACTCGGAACGACCCCGTTGGCGAACGTTTTGCTGCCGCTGCCCCGTCTGGTGTGGAAAGTCCCCTTCCCACCCCCAATCGTAATGATCCAGGACCGCATCACCCTCTCAGTAGCTCTCTACCCCCAAGTGACCCCTGGTCGAGCAGCTCTCTGCACGAAGTACCTGCCTCTTCTCCCCAACCGACTGTCAATCAACCATTCAACGACGAAGATACCTGGAAAGTCCCGCCTTACTGGGACGCCCGCGGTCGCAGTTCTCGGAGGTTGCGGCGCGAGGGTGCATTCATACACACACCCGACTGGGATGCAATGTCGAAAACTTATGGGCGTGGCGACGATGCTGCTGAAGATGACCGTTCGCATACCCCTACAACAAATGATGTGCACATATCGACAGCTATGCCGCCTGCGGCTCATGCCCGAACCCACAAACATGAGGTCGGGGAACGTGCGTCTTCTCCTACACAGCTCCCGGCCTCTATTTCTCAATCACAAGTAGGTACCGACACCGACAATGTTCGGGCCGTTCCACAACGTTCCGACTCACCGGACGCTACCGAGCTCAGGCGACGCGTCCATGAGCTACAGGAATATATAGACAAAGGATACGAAGGACGGCTACCGCCATATCAGAACAAAACGAAGGAAGCGAGTGATGCATCTAGCTCGCACAATGTCCCCTCTTCCAACTCCAATCTCCCTGTAACCTTACCACCACCTACCCCGATGACGCCAAGAAAGAAACGTCAGCGGGCGCCCTCACAGTCTCCATCACGCTCTCCATTTCACTACTCGCCTGGTTCACATGCGGGTTCAGCAGGTCTACCCGAGGACGAGGACGAGGGCCACCCCACTGAGGCGCGTGCGGTAAAACGAATGAAAGTCTCTGCCCCCACATCAACGCCTAGACCAGCCCCCACTCCCGAGAACATCCCAGCTTCCGCTTCCAATTGTACGCCTGAGCCGACACTCACCCCTGAGATTTCGGCTATGGCTTCTGGAGTAAATTCAGGAACGAGAAGCCCCACGCCTCCGAGGAGGCGACCTCTCACGCGGACAGCAACAATGGACCAGTTCGATTAGTCTTCTGCACTTTTTGTTCTTTTATTCGCTTTCCTATTCCTCCCACCCTTCCCTCAAATTGTGTTGTAGTACTCGGTTGTGTCGGGTAGTCCATGCGTGCTACGGGTGTCCCCAATTCTAGCACTCCATATTTGTATATTTGTATCATTATTTCAAGCGCTCAACGTTCAGTGGTATTTGATCAAACTGTACATCAGCGTCTGTTCCGTTAGGAGAGACTTACAATGGCTTGCACCTACCAAGCGAAATGCTATTTTGCGGGATGTTTGACAAATACAATTATTCGTACGGGCACTTTGGGAATTATAACAAAACTGTTTCAGCCCCTACATAACTTTATCCCGCTCCCTCGGTACCACTCAGTCAGAAGTGAGGAGTCGACGCGGAGGGGGTGTTGGCTCCTCACTTCTGTGGTGATATCTTGGAGCGCTGGACACAGACGAGGCCACCTAGGAAGTATTCGAATTGGCACTAGGCTCTGGCCTCCTGGGTTCTACAGCGCAAACACAGTAGATCCACGGTGAACTTGATGAAATAGTCCTTACCAAATATGTCACTTACTGGTTTGGTCTTCACCATGAATTCTGTTTGCATGCCTTTTCAAGCCCTCAGGCCTGGCAAAGGTCTTGTTGCATATGCTGCACACTGATCTCGCCGCCTTTCCTTTACACTTGCTTTTCCTGCCTGTAGACTTCCCAATGGGCGATGCAGAGTACGATTTGGAGGCTCGTGGCCCATCTGAGCTGTTCCGCTTAGATTCCGCTGTCGCAGAAAGGTTTCTCATAGGTAGGCCGATTATGGGTGAGGAAATTCCGATCCCCGTGCTTCCACCACAGAATCCAGGTCAACAGTAGGATGAAGAAGGAATGGAAGCTCCACTCAGGTCAGAACTTTTTCGGGAAGGAGGGGCCTGCACCGAGTGTGGAACCCGGCCTGGGATTGGAAAAGCTGGGACAGCGGGGCTGACAGGTAACAATCCGACGGAAGTATGAGACGTGCGGACGCATACAGTTTGCTGTGTGTGGTAAGCTGAAGCGGCGGAATATACGAGCGACTGCGGCATAGAGGAGCGGGAGCCGTGGAAGCATGGGGGTGTTGTGGGAATAGACGGAGCATTGGGGGGCCAAGAATCATGAAGCCATGCGTCGCTGCTGCTACGAGGCAAACCATTATCAGGGCTTGCACACAAAGTCGAACGGACACCGGACGGTGGGAAATTACAGGCTATCTCAGGAGGAGATATTGTGGAAGGAAAACCAAGTTGAGCGTTCGTGGGTGACAGTAGGCTGTGTTGGGCTGGCACGAGATGTGTAGGCGAGGTGGCTGGTTCCACCACAGCAGAACTCCCAACACCTATGTGAGCCACCTGATACTCTCTCTGCCGGCGAGCATACGGAGACAAACTGTCACAAGAGCTGTTCATAGCTTCTCGAACCGGACCTGGATAGACAGGATAACGCGCAGAGCCATGGGGAGGACAAGTATTGCTAGAAGTCGAATTGTTAGCCATCTGTCAAATAACGAGACAGTGCGAGACTGGACTTTGAGTCAAACCTAAATAGGTATTAGCATAGGGGGAAGAAGGCTCTCGAGGAGTACTTTCGAGGAGAGGTCATTTAGGGTGCATAAGCCGTAGGCTCGGCTCCTCTCATGGGAAATCCAGAGCTAGGGAGGAGGCGAGTGATCGCTGTACCAGTGACGAATTTCGTGGAATCGTGAGTGAGGTTGGAGTAGACTTGGCAACAACAACAAGATCGCACTGAACAGACTCGCGCATATCGAAAGCCTCGCGTTCGACGGTCCCAGTTTGTCGGCCGTATCTTCTGCAATGTCCACCGGGCACGTTGAAAATTCTTGACCGCAAAAAGTGAACTGCTATGTGTAGCATGCCGCTGTTGGTTTTGCACGTAAGCAGCTGGGACAGTCAACAGTGTCTTGTGGACTCACCAAAACCTACGTGTGAAAGGATATCTGCTGCCTTGCATGATCCAGCCATTGTACTGACAGAACCTCGTTTCCGCAGAGAAGGTAATGTAGGTTCCATGGGAAGCTAAGCCTTATGGAAAGCCGGACAACCGCGCTTTGTTTGGCAGGTGATTTTTGTGCCGATGTCGAACGTGCGGTACGTTTTTCGAAGTTTCGAAGTTCTGTCAGCAGGGGGACACCAGACACTGCGGTAGTGCAGTCGTTGGTCACGCAGTCACGCAGAACTTGGACGTGCAGTAGCGCAGATGACGGACCTGCGGTAAGGCAGATGACGGACGTGCAGTAGCGCGAATGTTGGACATGCGGGAGTACAGATGCCAGAGGCGCATTCAACAAACATTGCAGTACGAAAATGCAAACCACCAATCCCCTTTAAGTTGCATAACGATGAGACTACAAATTAAACAGGTACCACAAAAAGAACCCTTCTGCAAGAGGGAGGCCAAGCCGTGCAAGCGCGAGAGCAAAATCCTGCTCAGTGTGTGAGGTTAAGTAGAGTTCCACAATACTCGCGACGGCTGACTGAACGTAACCATGAGCCTGTAAATACTTTAGTGTGTGGACTCCGAGAACCTCAGCGGCAGGCTTAGGAGGGGGAACACAATCTGACTGATAGAATCGACTTTCTATGACACCGTGCAAGTTGCGCACATAGCTATAGATGATAGGGGAGGGCTTGACGTCACCAGCCCATACCATGTTAGGGCCACTACCTAAAATAAGTGAGCGGGTTACTTGCAAAGCAGAAGAAAAAAAAATACCAGCATCCTTTTGACTCATACTTAACACAACAGGGGGGGGCAGGAGTTGGAGCAGGAAGGGGAGGAGTAGTGCAGAGGACACCTGATGCGAAGTTAGACATGTGGAAGGAATCAGAATAAGAGCTGTTACCTTTATACCCTTGAACTTCTGATAGAAGATCATCAATGCCCTTGGCAATCATGAACGCTAGTGCATCCCGAAACATAGATGTCTCTCCCCAGCATGGAAAGAGGAAACCTCGGAGAGCACTTATCGCAGATTCCCTGTAGATATGCATGTCAACGTGACAAAATGCAGGTAAAAATGACTCACTTTGTACGGTGTATGCCTATACGGTTTCCAACGACGACTGGGTAGAATTTTCCAGTATGGTCAGAGAACAACTTGCATACAACATCTGATCAGCCAAGAAGCTTCAAAAGCTCACTCGAATGTGGATTGTGTGGGGCTGGGTGCAAGATAGACTGTAATTGCTCATCTACCATCTTAGCCTCCGATGACGATAAGCACTGGATGACCACTGGAAGCGGTGGAGAGGAATGTCCGCAACACAGTGTGGGCCTTGCGCACTTGGTGAGTACGCGTGGTATTACTTAATCAGACACTTACCATGTGTGGTGTATGCCAGGCCTATCACCTCCGATGATGACCAAGTATTCCAAACGAGCCTCAGTGACTGGAAGCGCACTCATGGCACATGCTGGAATACAAGCTCACTTTTAGGCCCGCAATTTATATGCAAAGTAACCATACTGTACATAGTTTTTTTTTTTTTGGGGGGGGGGAAAGAGCATTGCTACGAGTGATAACGCGGCATTCACAACGAACCAAGAAGTACAGATGCGGACAGAAAATGGAGGTAACAGAAGAAGTTACAAAGCGGATGATTCATGGCCACTCGTCACCGGGGACCCAAACTGCTTTAAGCCAAACCCAGGCCACTTGCAGAACCGATTACACTTGTGGTGCTTCTCAAACAAAGCAACAGTGGACTCAAGATTTCCTTCGCTAAAAACATCTGCTCCACTGCCAACCGAGCTATCCAAAGTGTGAGAACTAGCGACCGTGGACAAGAGGAAGAGAAGACCAACGGGTCTGTCAAAATCTGAGGGTCTGTGAGCAACATGCGACTCCCTGTGAATGTGGTTAGTAAGGGCATATGAAATGTGGATTTTACTTGCCATGGTAGTCCAATATGATGACAAGACCTCCAGTCTTGCAATACTGGATGTGTTGAGTAAACACAAGAAACTCCGCAATGTCATATCCATTCATTCCTGCGGACATCATCGGCTCGTAGTCCATGTTATGAATGTACTTAGTGAATGCTCTGTTACCACCCTCAATTTTCTCTTCAAGGAGGTAAACGCCACATAACATGCCACTGAACTTGGGCTTCACAGGACCTTTGGAGATTTGGGAATGTGCTAGGGCCAAACCAGCTTCCACAAAGCGAAGGTGTGGAATATCAAATGGTGGGGGAGAGGTGGCAGATGCAATCACATTGTCTATGAAGTTGTATGTCATCGTAAGAAGTGCCTTGGCCCAATATAGAGTGTTCACTTCACAATGTAGCTTTGGCAGTTCATCGCCCAAGGAAAAGTGTATGATTCACCACTAAGCGTCCTCACCTCTAAGAGGGGTAGTGGAATTAGATGCAGGAGGGTGGGTGGGTGGCCTGAGAAATGGCCGCTTCACCATGACATTGTCATGTGGGTTTGAACCTAGGCCGGAAGGAGAAGGTGGGGTAAGCATTAACAAACCAGATTGAGCAGTCTTGAATCTGCCCATGCCAATAAATGACTTAGGAAAATTGTCCATATTCAACCTGCCTGTATAGGACTCCAATAGGTCAATATTAAATGAACGAAATTGAGGATTATCCAAGATGACAGCGAGTGGACGTGTAGGGATGGGATAATACTGTATCATTTCGAATGCCTCTGTTAGAACTACGAATTGCTGTTAGTGATTTCATGCATTGAAGACTTGAAAATCCCTTACCCTTGTTGACATTGAGCTCAGACGATCCACCAGATTTCAGTGCCTCTCTTAGGTTGTCCTGGCTAGGAGACATGAATGGAGTCAGGGCAGGTATTTTCCTGGGCGGTGACATGGTGGCAGGTGATGGACTAACGATGGTCTGTTTTGCAACAGGGTTTGTTGCAGCAGCTCTGTTGGTGCTAGACAGTGTGGTGATATCGCCGATGGGTTCGGTGGCTTTGGGAGTAGGGCATGCAATTTGTGAAGCTATACATGATGGCATGAACATGGTAGGAGCAACCCGCCCATGGAAAGATGTAGGTGCCACATTGCTGGTGGATGTGGAGGGTGCAAATGCAGATCTGGTTGGTGGTACTTCATCTCCTTTGTCACTTGAGATGACGACTGTAGTCAAGTCCTTGGAAGTTGTAGCCCCAGATTCCATAAATGCCTCATATTCAATCCATTGAGGAGCAGGAACAACTACATATAACATGAATTGTTTAGACTTAAAACCCATGGCCTTCAGGTTCCTCCATGCAGCCTGGAAGCACTGAGAATAAAAGTATGGGCCAGGGTCCTGGTGTGCCCCAAGATCGACCCAGTCTGTGTCTCAGACCACAAACTTGTCAAAATGCCATGCAAACGTCAGACAGAACATCTTCACTTTAGGGATTATTGTATCAAGTGCAATTGGCACAAGGTCATGGGCAGGGATGAGGGCATCAATATCTTTCTTTCCTTCACATATATTCTGTATAGTGAAATGAGTTTGTATAAGTTTGTGGGAGTGAGCACTTACACTGAATGGATTGCTTTGGTTGCATCCATGCCTTGCACCGCCTTCATAATGCACCAATAGCTTGAGTGATATAGTTTCTGCTGGTGGGGAGGTGTATGTCCATCTAGCCCAGTGATTGTATTCTTCAGTGTAGTGGTCATGATGAGATGTATGACCAGCACAAGGTGGTAGCATTGTCGGCATGCTTGTGTGTGCTATCCTACTTGCACCCGCTGTCTGAGAACCATGCCCTGGTACTGGCCACTGTGAAGGATGAGCAAATCGAGATGGTGTGTGATCTCCACACCATGCAGAAGGGGCTGCCACCTCTGGGCTGCAGGAGACAGCCACAACATGGGGCAGGTTGATTGATACTGATGATTCAGTCAGAGGATGCTATGGAATAAACATTCCCATAACCTACAACTATGCTGGGCAGCATTGACTGATCATTGGATTTTGAGAGGGTTGGGCAGAGCATTAGGATTCGAAGAATTGTGTTCCCCAGCAGCTAATAACACATAAGTTTGCGATTAAACACCAAAAGGGTTTCCATGTACCTGTCTTGTGAACTGTAGTTGACAACTTGTGCAAGTAATGGAGATTACAGGACGAGCAAACCCATTGCCCACTTTGACCTGGTTCGATTGTAGCAATATAATATTGGGGTTCACCCTGACATATCAATGCCTGACATTTTGGTCTTTCACAGTAGCGGTCTTGCTTGGCAAACACATCTTCAGTGAACTGGGTGGAGACTTCAGGGAGGTCGGCCATGAAAACCTGACTGACAACACCATGGCAGTGAAAGGCTTTTATATGCTCACAAATCCATACAATGATCCATACTAGCTGGCACTCTTCAGAGAGTGAGACACCTTGGACTAGTATTCATGACCTTCGAGCATGAATCACCTCAGACCTGATAGGATTCCTGCCACTGCCGGTCAGTTGACATGAGGGCATGACCCACAGCCTTCATAAATAGTGAAACTCTAGCCTACATTCATGGGTGGTGTGTACTTACTGCCTGCCATCAATGTGAAGGAAGTAGCACATGTGGAAGGTGGCAGAGACCTGAATTGTAGTCCAGGCATGGTTCCATTGGCTTCTGACATAATAGGGCAGTACCCGCAGCCTTCGTAATAGTGAAACTCCTGCCTATGTGCATGGGTGGTGTGTACTTACCACCTGCCATCGATGTGGAAGTAGCAGCACAGGTGGAAGGTGGCAGAGACTTCAATCATAGTCCTGACATGATTCCATTGGCTTCTGACACAATAGGGCAGCGTAGCAGACTTACCAATACATAGTGGGTTGATGAATGCTTGTGAAGATCAGAATGGACAGCAACATGAGTTTGCAATGAGCATGGTGAGGGAAGTTAACTGGAGAATAGAGGGCGATGGTGATGTTCTTTGACTTATCCAGAGTACAATTCTCTGTGTGTCTCCATGTCAAGGCCTCACAGGACCTCACATGTTGCCCACCTGACACATATTTGGCCATACATACACCTCACATTACACACAGAACCCCTCCATTACCACTCCAATCTCCATCATATAAGTTGACAGCAGCTGCCATCAACTGCCTGTGCAGTTCTCACTGACTGATGAAGCTCAATGCCTAATCAAAACAAACCAACACGTAAGTAAGAGACTTAGCTCAGTAGTGTGGTCCTTGACTCTCTTATAATATGTAGCACCTCTGGACGATGTTGAACCGCACATCATGCAGATGTGGAAGGCTCATCTCACTGACAGGCAAATAGTGGCAGAGCTTCATAAGGTTATCAATACAAATGAATATGGTATTGGGTGAGTGTTGGATCAATGGAGATTTTCCCATTGACTTACAACCAGTATCTCAGCCTGACGAAGTTTATCGTGGTCTGCAAGCAGATGGGCTGATTCATACTCGTGAGCAAGGCCATACTGCTGACTCTATTTGGGATGTAATGGTTGAATTGTGAGCGATGTACCCCAATGCGGGTGCTCATGAGATGATCAGTCTGTTGCACCATGAGAGGAACATGAGTGTATCTAGGTGTGGACATGCATAATGCTCAGTTCTTGAGCAATCAACCTTATTCACATTTTTGCAGGAGTGTAATTCGAGAGTATTTTGCCACCTATGAACCACACCTCATTTGCCATCGCAAGGCATGCCATCTCCAGTGTCGTCGTTTCTGGGCAGCTGGTGTCAATGATATATGGGTGGTTGATCAACATGATAAATGGAACAAATTTGGCCTTGCCTTGCACACCAGCATAGAACTGTTTTCTGGGAAGATTCTGTGGATTCGTGTCTGGCATTCCAATAGAAACCTGCAGCTCATTCTCACTTATTACCTTGATGTGGTTGAGGAACTTGGATGTACATATATTTGCAGCCTTCACAGTTGAGCACACTCACCGACGACTTGTAGTCATTCCCCTTGTCACTCAGAGCGATCCTGGGTCTGAAAATTTTGGTATCGCAAATGCACAAACTATGCTGTGCCAGTGGCATGACCCTGCCCTCGAAGGGACACTTCAACATTGGTGGATGTGTTCCAGGAAAAATATCAAACCAGAAATCATGTGGTCTCAACTTTGTAGGCATTTTACTCCCAGTTTCAAATCACTACTGGAATATGGGGTTCATCAAGGCTGGTATGACATCGATAATACACTCCAGTGGTAAGTCTTAGCATGTATCATCATGAAGTTTTGATTACTGACATTGTTATACTCAGTATGATTTTTTGGTGGATTTTTATACCCTGGCTTCAAGAAGAACTCAATGGTTATTGTGAGCATGTCAATTACACTATAAAACAGCATGATTGTCACAAGGTAACTGCTGCTTACTTCTAAGTTGCTCAGCATGTCAATTGACACTGCTTATAGGTACTCCCTCATGGTGTTCCTGAATTAATGTTTCACTCTCCACAGGACTATGGTGCGATAGATTTCAAGGTGAGTTTGTTACACATGTAGTATGAGGTCCATCAACTAACTCTGCTTGTAGTTCATGGTCAACAAGGCTGCATTGACTCAAGTTTGCAAACTATACCTCAAAACAGGCCACCCTGTGTTTGATTTAGTACCATGTCCATTGAATGGACACATAGAAGAGTGCTATCACTGCCTTGGACATCCAGCCATCACTCACTCGAGTGTTTGGGACATTTACCTCAACCTCCTGCATGTGCTTCAGAATCACACACTTTTGCTGCCTGTTTTAGATTCACTGCCCATAGACATCAATGTGGATGACTCATGACCCCATGTAGTCCATTTAGTCACAACATATAGGTAGCCTGTGTGCCAAAATGCCAACACTTATATAGACCCCATGATGGGCCTGTCTAAATAGATTAGCCATGACACATGGACAGGCCTGAGGGCCTATAGTGAGAGCAACATATGTATGGGCCTGTAAATGCAATTCCACAACATATGGGAGGGCCTGTGGAGGGTAAGGATGCTGCAACATATAGACAGGCCCATGACCAAGTAAGTATGCTAAGCTACTGTAAGACATGGATGGGCCTGCCTATTGTATCATGAAGAAGGTTGCAACATATGGACAGACCTGCCCATCATATGCTTTATAGGGTCACAACATAAAGAGGGGCCCATCTATGATAGATTACAGAGTTGGCAACATATGGACAGGCCTGGGAGTAATATCATTTATGGTGTCACAACATCTAGACAGGCCCATCCATAGCAAGATGTATGCCTGTCACAACATAAGGATGGGCCCATCAGTAATATCATTGACAGTGTCACAACACATAGATGGGCCCATCTAGTAAGATGCATCCCTGCCACAACATAAAGATGGACCCATCAGTAATATCATTTACAGTGTCACAACACATAGACAGGCTCATCAGTAATATCAATCACACAGTCACAACACATGGACGGGCCTGTCAATAGCAACATGTATGCCTGTTGCAACATAAAGACAGGCCCATCAGTAATATCATTTACAGTGTCACAACACATAGATGGGCCTGTCAGTAATATCAATTACACGGTCACAACACATGGACAGGCCCATCAATAGCAACATGTATGCCTGTCACAACATAAAGACAGGCCCATTAGTAATATCATTTACAGTGTCACAACATATGGAAGGGCCCTTCAGCAGTATCATTTATGTGGTCACAACATAAGGACGGGCCCTTTAGCAGTATTATTTATATGGTCATAATGTATGGATGGGCCCTTCAGTAATATCTTTTATATTGCCATAAAACAAGGATGGGTCTGTCTAGTAAGATCCACCCCTGTCACAACATAAGACAGGCCCAACACCAATAGCACATATAGTGTCACAATGTATTGATCAGATCACAGCAAAATATTGAGGCAAGCATCCTGACATGCTGTAATTTTCCAACAAGCTGCAAGCAGCTCACCCACTATACAACTCCGACCTCATCCACCCCAAGCATGAATACTACACAAGACACATCTAAAACCACCCACAGATGGTGAATGGGACTAACAGACTGCATTGCATCATACATGAAAGCCAGATTTCAAGAGGAGGTATTCAGTGGACCTCGCACCCTTCCAGATATATCAATTCCATTTCTGGTGTTATGTGAAGCAGATCACATATCATCAGTAATCTCACAGGCCTATCATCACCCAAGTAAGTCCATCATAATGGTGTGATGGAAGTTTTCATCTTTCCACAGTCAATGTTGGGAAAAATCAGGGTGGAAAAACCTGCAATGCAGAAGCTGCTGAGAGATACACAGAAGTGACTGAGCTGTCCATTCTGGTGACTGACTCAAACACCATCCATATTTGGTATTTGCTGGATGCTCTCAGCCCAAAAAGAAGGGTAAGGGAATGCAGAATCTCATATTCCACTGACTTAATGCAATGGCAGGCTGACATATGGAACTGCCTTCATCTTCTGAGGGAACCACTGCAGGAGAGCATAAAGGCTTTCCCACAGGCATGGTGGACAAACAAGTCATATTTCTGTGATAATGCTGAGTTGAAAGGCACCATCAACCTGTCACTGGCATGGTTTCAACAGGGTCATGGGGTGGGTGATCATTTCTTTCCTTGTGAATAAAGCACTCATCTGTCTTGAAGCCCCAAAATGGCTTCCCAGAAGCCTCACAGCTGCTCAAATCCAGGACAGAAAACACTTCTACAAGGGAATGGGTCAACCAAATGTCTGACACCAATGCCCTGTTATCTGTGATCCTGCATGTCATCCATCCATGAATGTATGCAGATGGCAGGGAAGCATTGATCTGCCTTGGCAAACAGGCAGAACAGCAGGTGGATTCAGATATGAGCTCCATACTGCCAATATGGAGCTCCACATATAGCAGCATGTCCATGATGGTGAATCAGGCAACTTGTTACCACAGGGATATCGATGGACGGGATCCATGGTATGACATGCTGGTAACCATGGGTGACTACCTGCCCTCGGATTTTGTCATTCCAATGTTGAATCTGCAGCTGCACTACAACCCAGGGATGATCATTGCATTTCCAGGTTCAGCACTGGAGCATGGGGTGGGAGCTGTAGACGGTGACAGAGCATGCCTGGCATACTACATGCATGCCAATGTACATCAGTTGGTGCACATTCCTATGTGTCAATCACCATGGATGGATGACCTACTACCTAGACCAGTTGCAACTGGACAACTGTTGATTTGAAGCTGTAAAATTTAATGTAAGATTTAGTAGGTGATGCAGATCTTGTATTTTATTAGGATATGCTGGCTCTTGAACTTTGGATGGGTGGTGTTGCCAAGATTTTGCAAATGGGCAGGTGCTTTGACATCATAGATTGGGCAGGTACTCAGAGCTAAAGGGTGTGCATCATAAACTGCAAAAATAATAAACCTGCTCAGGCCATCATGCAGATGGGCAGATTGTCAGACATTGCATGGATGGGTAGGGGTTCAGACATCATGCAAATGGGTGGCATCTCATAAATGATCGACATTTACAGCAATGTATATTCAACCAACTCCACAGCCAAAAACATGTAAACTATTGAAGCAGCATGCCCAACAACCTGTGCAATGCCCACCACCTAGTGTAGAAATGGTCAATTTGTCAACCCTGACCATTGACAACATTGGCATATTTCTGAATATTTTTGATGCAGTAGTTTACCTGCTCCTCGATATGGCCATCGAGACAGTCTGCAATTGGTGCCTCAGGCAATGGCCATAAACCCTGGGCCATCATCAACTATTTGCAGTGACAAGAATAAGCAGCATACCTTAAAAAAATCCCAGGCTGTGGAAAACAATCCCTTGCCTTGCAATCTTTGGGAATCCACTGCATATTCCTCAGAACAATATAGCCACCAAGGGAATGCAAAGCCAGAATTGGGATCAGCTGCATGTGGGGTCCAATGCAGGATGATGGTGCTGATATTGTTGATTATGCTAAATGTGCACTAAGGGGAATTAGCTGCATTTGATCGCAGAAGCTAACCTCATCATCTTGGTGTCTGAGGTACACATGGTAGCACACTGGGAGGGGAGGAGTATAACTGGCATGCAACACTGTCACCAGAATCAAGCTATTAAGCTGATTCTGAAGGAATTATGTATCAGTCCCACATTGTGAAAAATTGATGTAAAACCTACCAAGTCCATTGCTAGGTTTGCAAACCAATGCACAGGCCATCCTGCAATATTGGCAGTCTGCTTCAGATGTACAGAGGCCACCTTGATCTGGCATGCCAAGTAGAGGATACCCATCTCTACCACAGACTGGTGAGATGGGTGTGATTGGCTGGTGATGAATGGCTCAGGACAATTTTCAAAGGTGGAATGTGGATAACAAATGACTTCCATCAAATCAAGCATATTGACAAGTTGAAGGCCCTGAGAGGCTGCACCATACTGGTCCCTTGCAGCTGTGCCCAATTCTCTTGCAATGGCATTTGCAGCCCACACAAGGTGCCTATTGAGGGTGGGATTGAACATGGCATGTCACTGGGAGTGGTGTTTCCATGATAGTGAGATACTGTGGCATGTAAGGTGCACAGGACTAAAATTATCAATGTCAAAGGTGTATCAGATTAAGCTCATGCCCATACCTTGATTGCATCATGGAACAGGTGCCAATCCCCATTGTTCCATTTGAAGAGATTGCTGTGTGGATGGAAGTTCACCTACATAATCAATGGATATCACTGATCACATGAATAGAACCAAATAAATGCTCACCATTGCATATTTCCATGAAAAGATCCCTCATCTCTGATCGTTTGGGCATGCCAAAAGTCAAATGGTTTGGCCATTGTCCTCATCTGCTGCCAAGTCAAAAGATTTGATGGGTACATTTGAAACGAGTGGGGGAGGCGTTGGTTCCCTCATATCCTGCAATTGAGCAAGCAGGTTAGTCAGAGAATCAGGTTGAGGAGATTGGTCCCTCAGATTTGATGATTTGCAGGTGATGGGCAGAGGAGATGGTTCCTGCACATTCTGCAAGTCTGCCAGAAAATCAACCTTGCATAGTAACATCTTGTGCAGGTGTTGAAGACCCATGTCCATCCTGTTTAATTTCTCATGCATGACTGGCGGTGCTGATGGTTCCTGCACATTCAGCAATTGCTTGAGTAGATCCATGTTCATACCATCTGCTGGGGGAGCAGTTGGTTCCCATTCATTCAGGAACTGATTCATCAAGTTGTCTTGTGGATCTATTACTAGAAAATTAGTTTGTTTGTTAGCTTGGAAGGGCAATCATGCCAACTCACCAGCCATGATTCCACCCTCTGCCAGAGCAGTTGGCTCCCTTTCCTGCAGGAACTGATCCACCAAGCTTTTGCATGAATCTATAGCGAAAGAATGTTTGTTGTTTAGCTTGGAGAGAAATCATGTTCACTCACCAGCTGTGATATCCATGTTTGACCCTGCCATATCTGCCCTTCCACTTGAGACAATTGGTGGAGGGGTTGGCTCTTGCACAACTCACACAGTTGTACTAGCATCTCCTCCAGATTTTTGGACTGCTTCACTGCAGGAGCTAGATTGCCTTGGCTCAATTGGTCTTACATTAGCTGTGGATGGCTTAGGTCACTGGATCCAACAATGAAGACAACCTCACCTTGACAATGGAAACAAACTTGGCAGGACTGTTTGGCAGACATATTTGATGATGATGGGTTCACTGATAGGTCGATGATCAATCAAGATTTAAACTTGTAGGAACAATGGTGAGAATATCATTCACACTGTGGGAAGCAAGGTTGGACAATGGCAGACACAGCCATATTTGGTTCAGCAAGGTTGGACAATGGCAGATGGAGCCAAATTTTGGGTAACAGCAATACATGGGAGATGAGCAGAAATATCTCCCTACATAGATAGCTACCAGTCGCTTCCACATGGCCAATATGTAGGACCTGTCCCTGCTCAGCTCTCCACTCAATTGTCATACTCAACCATCCTGCTTAACTATCCCTCTCTCTGATATCAAAGACACCTCTCACAACCACCACATGTGTCATGAGCTACTGTACATGCCATACAATTGTATTCTAATGTGTCACACTAGGCTAAGCCCTCTATAGACCATACACAAGTTCCAAAAAAGGTTTCTGCTCTGACTGTTTGAGGGATTCAACAACTACTTCTACTTCTGATTGCTGCCTGTTTGCTTGCACAATCTCTTTGCATCAGGAGATGGAACATCTGCATCTGGCCTTGCAGGGGCCTTTCTGACACAAGGTGACTTCCAGGTGCTCCCAGGGACCCCCTGTTTCACATTTGTGGATGCTGCATTGGTGGTCACAGATCCATTATGGTTGGACTTGGATGAGTATTTGGCCCCAGGTGAATGTTGATTCATGTCTGGCTCACTAGATTCTGACAGAGCCTGCTTAATATACAGTGCAAACTTGTTAGCCATAACAGCTGATTCAACATGACTGAACTTGCCTGGTGTGTGCACTTCAGGGCAGATTTCAGCTTTCCACCTTTTTTTCTGCTTGTTGACCCCTCCTCAGTTGGGTGGTCAGTGAAAGGAATGCTCTCCAATCCATCTTCATCTGTGTATTCTGAGTGGTCCTGTAGTTCAGTTGTGTACTCATTCCCTGAGTGCAGATCAGGGTTTGCTGTGAATACAAGTTACAGTGGGGAGCTCACTATTCAGGGATGTTGCTGTTTTCTTTGAATTGGATAGGGTGGGCAAATAAGTGTCTTCATCAGCTTCATCATTGGAATCATGGCCATTGCTTTCCTGCCCATTATAGTCAGTTAGTGCTTTATTTCATGGATGATGCACTGGGGTCTTTGCATGGGCTGGAGGTGCAGAGAGCTGCTCACTATGGGAACCATCAGCTGGTGGGGGATTTGAGCAGGAACAAGAAGAGAATGGTGTCTTGGCATGGTTTTACCTCCTGCCAGATACCTGAAGACCAGAATCACATTAGTGCTGATCTGTCACACATGAAAATCACACATGGTGCACCTTTTTAGTGGAGGGACCATCTGTTCCAACATTGCTTGCCTCAGCCTCACTGTGATCATCCAAACTGTCATCTGCACTGTCATCTGTGCTATCATCCATGCTATCATCTGCCACTCCCTCTTCCTGTGCTTTACCCTTGCCCTTGACATTTTTCCTTCTGGGATTCTTTTTGCATTTGGGGGCAGGTGTTTTTTGGTATTTCCACTGCCTCACAACCTGTAGGGGTGCCAAAGTTCTATCCACCAGTGGCTGCAGCTCGCCAGATCAATCAATCCATTTCTGAAATCCAAACACATCATTTGGATGGGATTCCTGTTGCTTGCACCAAAAGGACAGCAGCTGGGTAGCTGTTGTCATCCACATGTGACTTGGGTTGCAGTCAAAGGCAAATCCTTCAGGAAGATGGCAGGCTGCTATCATTTCTGCTTGATGATGACCAAAATTCTTGAATGGCACTGCTGATGAGGGATTTCCACATGCTAATCCCAATAGCACTCATCAGAGATTGGGGACACCAAATACTCTGGCCACTCACAGTAGTGAGCAGTCACAAATCCATGAACCATTTTTTGTAGTTGGTCCTGGCTAAGGCCTGTGATTTCTCCTATCCAAATCTCTCCATCAGCATTTTTCACCAATTTCACAGAGTCAACCTTGCCAGTCCTCATTGCATTGGCCACTGTCTTTTTCTGAGCACATTTGGGACTTGACTTGCCATCATGCTCAGGTGGTGTTCCTGGTTCCTCAAATGTTTCCCAAGGCACTCTTGCCAGCTTCCTTCCAGTGTGCAGACATCATTGAAGGGGATTCCATCCACAATTTTGTTATTGAAGTCCATACTGTCATTGCATGAGTCTTACCTAGGCCTAGAGGAGAATATGGTGGACTCACGTGCATGCCTGTATAGTTCCCTCCTCATTTTTCCACCCAGCCATACACACTATGCACATTCTGCAATACCTCCACATCTCCATCGCAAAGTTTTGGACATACTTGTACCCATACTTGGCTGCATTCCTGGGAACCAGGATAAATTGAAGACTGGGAAGTTGACCTCATACAATCGCACCTTGCTTTTGTCTCTGGCACAGGGCCTTCCTGCCCATTCCACCTTTCTACTATATCTTCAGCTGCAGCCAATTGTTCCTCTGTCAGGTCGTCCTGAATAAAAGCCATCAATGCATTCTGATACTGTTGGATCTGCTTGCTTCCATGGGTATTGCCTTCTTCTACTTTCATTTTTGCAAGCTTCTCCTGTATTTGCTCTTGGTACAATTCACAGACCACTGCCTGCACAGAGTATTTGTAACTGGATCTAAGGGTAATGTGGGGCTTCTTTGACCAGAGGGGCTTTTTCAACCAATCTTGTATTAGCTACAAGGGTGCTTTGAATTGTGAGCATCTGAATCAGAACTTTTAGAGCATACGTTGCACTTGGTCTGGACTTTGCTCCCTCTCAACTCCTTGTTCCTGTCCAATTGCTGCATCTCCTCCCATATGGATAGCAGAACTGCAGGCTTCTTCTTCTTCCCTGCTTGCCTCCATTCCTGGTGTTGGTGCCCAAGGATCTCCAACTCTTCCACTTCAAACCTTTCTTCCTCCCTTTCCCCCACATCTGATGGTTCTATGTCTTGCCCACCATCAGCATCATCTCTTTCTGTCTGATCCCAGGCATCTGATTAGTTGCAGGACACATCAGGCATAGGTGGGGGACACAGTGAAGGAATGACTGACAGCAGATTTTATAAGGGTTTGATAGTGTTGTGAGTATACCCTAATGACATTACTGTAGTGGACACCAACATTTAAGGAGATTTCCCTGAGCAAATGGCCCAGATGGACCAGGAGGGTGGTTTCATGAGTTGTGGTACAAGAGGGAGCCTTAATGGTTACAATTCAATGTTTGGCATTGTTTGTATACTTACAAATCATTTAATAGACCATGTGATATATTATGTAAGCATTAGTAACCAACCCACAGCATTTTAAACTTTGTTAAACTCAAAACTATGCAGACTGGGTTCAAACTCAAAAAACTGTCCCAATGAGTCACCACACCAAATGGGACATACCTCCACCAGTTTTCACCTGGCCATCATCACCCATGACTTGTTAGAAAGCCCAGACCATGGGCTTCACCCCCCACACTAACCATTTGGATCAGTTCTTAAGCATTGACATGCTACACTCCCATCAGTCAAAATTGCACAAACACTGGGACAGTTATTTGAGCCACTGTAGGCCTTGATGTAGGCAGAGGGGTCTTTCACACCTTGCTGTAGTAAGGTATTCCATATGATGGATGTAGTGCCTGACTTATTCAATATATCCAACATGTTCCATTCATCTGTGATGTCCCCCAAGCCAACTGGGACATCATGATGCCTCTGTACAATACCCAACATGGAGACAGCATCTCCCCTTGCTAGTTTCTCAATGATATGTCAACCTATGGATTTGTTTTGATTGACTGTAAGCATTTTGTTGCTCAATGATTCATTGATACTTTGTGAAAGCTCATACTCCCTGAACTGATATAGCTGTAAGTAAAACACTTTGAAGAAAATACTAAACTCTGGGCTGTCAAGCCCCCTCAGTGTGACTTTGACACTCCTCTCATGTTGCACATCTCATTGCAATTCCAAAATTTGCTGTTGCATTGATATTTGTAGTGATTCTCATGCATAAGTGGCCTAGCATGGGTGGCACTGCTTGGGAGTGCTACTATGAAGTGTCATTTTGGTTGAGCCTGCCCCAGCCTCATCCCTGGTTTGCCCTCATCTCTGTCCCAGTCTCTGATTATCTTTGTCATGACCTACTAATACTATTCTTACCAATCATCTCACCAATCTTTGCAAGACCACCATTACCAGTCTCTGTACTATAGTCTATAGTTACCTCTAGCATGTAAGCCCATAGTTACTCAGTCTGTATCTCCTCAGTCTAAAATTGAATAAGTCCCCTCTGAAATCCTCTGTCTCAGCCTCAGACTTGGACTGCAACCCACACAAGGGAATAGCACTGCATTGTCAGTTGCTAAGTCCAAACAGTCCACCATCCAACCTCTGCTCCCCTCTGTTCCCTGACCCCCCAGCCTCATGCCTGCATTGGTCTCTGGTCCAGTCTTGAATCTGGACACCCTGGACTTGACAGTATTTCAGACTCCAACTTGTGTGGGTCTAACATCTTCACCTAGACATGGCTACAAAGACTTAATTCCAACCTCCCTGTGGCCATGCTGCCACCAATCCTGAATCTGCCTCAGCCAGTGGGGCTCATCACAAGGCTGCACTTGCTGCCTTGGGCACCAATAGGTGCTCCCCCAACTCAGTAAGTCCCTTCAAGGGCTTCTTGGCCCAGACTTCTAATACTCCCACCCTATGTTGCCCCATTGCCCCCATCTCCAATGATGATCCCAGAGATGATAGGCTGGATGACAACAATAACAACAACCCAAATGATGATCCTGGTGATGACAACCTGGATGACAATGATCTGGAGGATGACCAGCCAGACTTCCCAGACCTGGACACTGAACCTGGGATTGTGGTATCAATAGTCTTTCCAAAGCCATCAAGCTACTGGCTCACAATAAGTTACTTCAAACTTCTTTCTTGCAGCTTTTCTCAGTTGTTGTACCTGTCATGCTGTATGATGATATGTCCTTTCTTCTAAGTTGTTGTCTATTCTAGAATAATGTAACCATAAGTAAAAAGTCATGCATCTAAAACAAAAACTTGGGTTATTGTGCTCAGTATCCATGCTCATCAGATGTCATATCCTTGATGATTGCCATTGTAGTTTGAACCATAGTTGTTGCACTTGTCTTGCCATACTTTGTTCATAGTTAGCTGTAGATTCTTGAATCATGATTGCTTGGATGTCAGTTGCACCTCATTGCAGGTGTCCATCTTCCCTTGAGTGTTTGAGCTCATTGGCTCTCATTGCACTTCATTCCCTTTGGATGGCCATTCTTGCCTCACACAGCCTTCAATCTGCATCAAGTGCTGTCATCCTTGTTTGCACTCCTGTCATTGTCATTGTCATCCTTGTTGCCATTGCTAGTCTGTACATGATTTCCTCAGGAGTAGTTTTCTGTACTGAACAAAAAGAATAACACCACCTTGGAGCCTTCAGCTTTCCCTGACCACTCACCCCATTCATAGTAACACCACCATATCATGTTGCATAGCTTCTCCTTGATGGTCCATTGTCTTTCCTTGTAGGTTGTCATAGTCCATTGTATTGTGACTGCTTGGATGTCACTCATGCATCATCTTGTACATCCATTTTCCCTAGAATAGAGTAATTGTAAGTACAATGTTCTAAAACCAAAGCAAAACCTTGAGCCATTGAGCTCAGTACCTGCATTTGTCAGATCTCATATCCTCAATGATCACTGTTGTAGTTCAAACCATAGTCCTTGCACCTGTCTTGCTGTACTTATGCACAACCTTTGATTGTAGTTCATCATAGGTGCTTGTATCATGATCGTGGTTCATTGTAGATATCCATCTTCCCTAGAATCACAAAGATGTAAGTAAAATATCCTGAAATAAACACAAAACCTTGAGCTGCCAAGCTCATCATTTGTCTCCACTGTGCCTCATATCCATCATATGGCCAATCTTGCATTGTGCAGCCTTCAATCTGCACCAAGTGCTGCTGTCATCATTGCTCACACTCTTGTTGGTGTTGTTGTCATCCCTGCCACTGTCACTGTCACTTGTAACTGCAGTAGCTCCCACACAGTACCTCATTCACCCCATTCTTCATGTCCTTCGATTGTAGCAATCTTGTGTAGTTGACCTGTAACACTAGTCTTGTCAGTATGTAGCACTTGAGTGCATGCAGCCTTGACATGCAGAGTGGTCACATGACTCCACTTAGTCAACATTGCTAGATTTTCTCTGCAAGTCCCAATACCAAGCATGCATGTCAATACTCTTGATGGATTCCAAAATAAAACATGTAATGCTGGCACTTTGCAGTTGCAGAACATTTTGAGTGTGAGGTCATCTATCATCACTGTGTGCTTCAACATTTTGACTCACAAAAACTCTTCTGGTGGCTTCCTTCATCTGACAAGCCTTGATGGCTCCTCAACCTTGATTCTCTCCACTATAACTTTCATCCTGACCTGTTCCATACCTTGTAACATCCTGTGTGTGTTAGTATTCCCTTTGTATATTGATTTATCTTCCTCATGACCACTTGTGAGTACTTCTAGTGCCTCATCTTCAACCCTCTTTGACTTTGTGTGTTCTTCAAGTCTTTCCAATTTGAACCTGAGTGGTATCTTTGACATGAGTGACTTGTCCACCAACTGTTGCACCTCTTTGCTGACTGCAGGAGCTTCAATGGTGTCCTCTTTAAGACTTTGACATCTTAATTCAAAAGTATCAGCAGCCAGTTGAGAAATTCAGTGAGAAAACATTGAGTGCTATCACTCATCTTGAATATGAATGGCACCTTCATTGTGAGTGGTTCTTCCACTACCACTGGTTTGACTTGCTCATGCTTTGCTACTTCCTATAATTCCATAGTCAGTAGTTTGTTCATACTCAAAGAAAATTCCTTTGTCTCAAAACCTGACATTTCTGCCATCTTGTCAAGGTTGCCTGGGCTTGGGCCTTCACTCTTTGTCTTCTCAGGTGGACTGTGTGGCTGCACACAACTCGTCAAAACTGATTCTGGCACTTGCTCACATTCCATGTGCCCTGGTAATTCTGTAGATCCCTGTATATTGGTCATCAGTGAGTCATGTGTAGATGTAGTTGGAAAACAATTTGTAGGCAGTTGTTGCTTGTCCACACTCAATTCCTGGTCACTTCATGGTCAAATGTATCCTTCTGTGCTTGTCTGAACTTGCTCCAAATGAAATCCTTTCTGTAGTAGTCTTGTAGCTGCAGTTGTTACTTGTGCTATGGGCCATGGGTCATCTGAATGTTGCTGTCAATCATTGCATCGCATTTTCTGCACAATTTTGTGCCAGAATTCTTTATCAAAACCCTGTAGATAAAGGTCTTTGAGCTCATCAGCCTTGAGTTGCCTTGAAACCCATAGATACATTGCTAAATCAAGAAAATAAAGCTTGTAGTTCATTAGTTCCTCCTCTGTATGAATCTCTCTGCTTGCTTGACTGTCAACAAGACCATAGAGGTCATCCTTCAAATGCTGCTGATCCAATTTCTGGGACCCAGGATACAAACATGCAATGGCCACCACAAATTTGGGCCAACTGAACCAGTCCTCTACAAATTCAAGCCAACTTTGCCACCAGCAAGCCCATTTGGCCCATTCTTGGTCATTGAAGCATTTCTCATGCTCACAAAAACTTCAAACCACTTCAAAATATGTAAACAGGTCAGATGCATTTCCTGAGAACCATGGACTATGTTGCAATTATCAGCAAATGTCCTATCTGCCCTCAATTTTCACACCTGCATGGCAACTTGGAACAGTGGTGATTGCAGTATAAATGCACAAGTATAGATGAACTACTTATTTCACCCCCAAATTCACATATTCTGGAATCTTGTAGCCAGTGGCCTTGAGCCTCATCTTAACCCACAACATTCAGTATGTTGCCAACTGAGTGGCAGCATTCTTGTAACCTGTGACATAGGAGGATTTCTCTTCAAACAACATTTGCAAGTGGACCAGGTTCTGCTCCAAAAGGTTCTTCTCAAGCTCAAATATCAATGCACATGATTTGTCAAGACTTTGGCCCTTGGGATTGTTGAGAGCAGGAAGTGTCTTAGAGGTACTGTCTTGCACACCAGACATTAGATCCCACACCACATCTTCAAGGCCAGCCATCTGCAAGCACCACTTCTGAGAACCACTAGAGCTTCCCAGGGAAGCCACTGTGGATGTGGTGTTGAGCTCAGCAGTGGCATCACTTTTGTGCTTCTTGCTGTGAGATGACAAACTAGATGATGGATTGATGGAAGTGCTTACTGATGTCATTGTGGAAGACAGTGGTGATGTAGGAATGCATGAAGGGGAAACCATGGGGCCAGACAGGGATACAGGTGGCACACTGGACAGGGCCTGTGAAACACCCTGTGGTACAGGCATACCTTGAACATTTATGGTGGGCTACACACTCCAAGGAGTCTGTGTGATTTGATGTTGATTGGGAAACACAGATTGATCCTGCATGAAGGTAAACTGTGCAGCAGGTTGCACAGATGGTGGCCAATACTGCATGTGAGGTTGTGTGAACAGTAGCTGATGCTGCACAGCAGGCTGTGGGAATGATGGTGGTGGGGGGGGCTGCATAGATGCAGGCTAAGGCAATATGACAGGGTGTGTGATGGAGCCAGGAAAATTGGATGACATGGAAGTAGAAGCCTGGGACCTTTGGGCAGGGGGTTGGGCACTGGTGGCATGGTGTGCATTGGTGCCCCTTGCCTTGTCAAGAAGGGTAAGGTCTCACATATGATCAAAGTATTTGAAGCCTGTGTTTCAGTACTGGGCAGTATCTGGCCGATTCTAGGGGAAGGTCAAGGATTTTTGTGCCACACCAGGAAAAAAACTCAGACATACCTTGATGACATCATCCATCATAAGCTGCCCTGCCTCAGTTATGACATCAGCACCTTTTGCTGCTGAATATGCAAGTCCTGATCCCCTTGCAACAGCTGAAGCTGCATAGTAGTCCTGTTTCAGCTTTGTATGAGATGGGTGATACTGAATGCAAGGATAAATCAATGCACACTTTCCCACTTGTCATAACAGCTTTTTGTGGTTTTACAGCAGCCATTGGCTTGGACAGGTAACTGAGATACCAAATCATTGAAGTGCCCTAGCTGAAAGACCATATGATCACCTGCCTTGGGTCAGATTTCCTCCACAAAATTGAGAAACATCTCAACATCTGCATGGGGCCATACAGCTTGCAACTTTGGCTCAGGCTCAGAGCTTGAACTGACTGATGGGACCTTTCCTTTTGACCCAGAACCTCTACCTTCCATCTTGCTGTGAAGTTGATGTGAGCAGCAGGTCAGGGACATGGAATGGTCTAGCCTGTGATAATGGTCAGTTCATTGAGGTGGCATATCATACTATGCATATGTGGGTAGCTGTGATTCATCACCTGATCAGTAAACACCACAGTCACAGATAGTCTGCAGTTATCAACTTAGAAGTCCACTGAACTCTGCACAGAGTTGGTTTGTATATGTTTTGCATAAGGAAGTGGAAATTCTGCTACTGTTCAGGCCCTAAGTGTATATTTGTTAGTGCATGGGTCAAACCTTTGCATCATTTTGATTCTTCCCCCCCCCCCCCCCCTTCCATCCATCTGTTACTCACACTATGTCTGCTAACCATCTCCCAAGACTCTCTCAGCTCATGTGGGTGGCTACACCCAACCTGGTAGAAGCAGAACAGGCCATGCTGAGGGAGCAGTTCATCACTTGCCTCTGCAGCTCTGGTTGCTAAGGCTAGGTGCCTCCTGGATGACAAGGAGGAACTGTGGGAGGAGAAGGTCACTTGGATGCACCTGTGGGAGCAGAGAACAGTAAGCATGCACATCCTGTCTATGGGTTGCATTGCTGATGTTGGCCAGGGGGAGGTCCATCCCCTTGTCAAATGTGGTCAAGTGCTGGGGGTTGACACAAGGATAGATGCCACAGATGGGCCAATCCTGGCAGAGGCCAACAAGGCTTATGAGAAGTGGTCTGTGGAAGAGACTGCAGCAGCAGCATGTGGGGGTGGTGATGAGGATGTGTGAATGGGAGAGGAGGTCTCATGAGATGTTGGTGAGCTGGGAGTGAGCATCACAGTGCTGGTGGCAACAGAGAAGATGTCACATGTTGAGGTTGTTTCCTGGCCAGTTCAGAAGGTAAGCATGTGGTCTGAATGGTGTGGTAGCAGCTGATACTTGAGTCCAAAGCAATCACAGCAGACTGTCACAGAGAGCAAGGACAAGGACAAGCCCAAGATTGTTGTGCCACCCAGTGTCAAGTCTGGGATGTCCAGGTTTGAGACTGGACCAGAGACCAAAGTGGGCACTCAAGGCCAAAGGGTCAGGAACAGGGGGAGAGCAGAGGTACAGAAAGTGGACTGATGGACTTAGCGACTGAGGACACAGCACTATTCCCTTGCATGGGTTGCAGTCTGAATCCAAGGCTGAGAGAGGATTCAGAGGGAGACTTGTTTGATTTCAGACTGAAGAAGTACAGGCTGAGTATCTACAGGTTTATATACTTGAGACAGACTATAGTACAGAGACTGGTAATGCCAGTCTTGCAAGGATTGCTAAGATGATTGGTAAGAATAGTATTAGTAAGATATGACACAGATGACCAGAGACTGGGACAGAGACAAGGTGGGCCAGGGACAAGGCCAGGGCAGGCTCAACTGAGATGTCACTTAATAACAGCACTGCAAAGCAGTGCTTACCATGCTAGACCAACTGGAGGTAAGAGTTTGGGGAGGCTGAGGCCGAGTCTGGCTGGGGTCAAGGCACAGCTATGACACCCAGTTCAATCCTCCATAAGGTCCCATGTGTGCAGTGCATGGTAAAGAAGGTGGCTTGCATCAGACCTGCAGAGCAGACATGTGATGGCTGCATGTGCATGAAGCAGGGATGCAAGAAGTCAAACAAGTCCACAGGGAAGAAAGTGCAGGCAGGCATATCTACCAGTAAGTGGCAAGTCTACCCCAGGAGATTTGTGGCTAACATCAAGTAGTGCATTCCTTGAAAGCTGTGAAGGCCAGCCCATCCAGGAAGGCTGCTGACAACAATGATGACAATGATGAAGTGGAGGTAGTGGAAAGCCATGCACTGTCACACACCAAAGGTGTTGTGGACATGGATACAGCTGACTCTGCCTAACTCATCAACAAGTTGTGCACCATGCCATGCAGATGAAGACTAAAGCCCTCATGCATAGAAAGACTGCTGGATGTGAGCAGTCATCCTTTGCACAAGAATGAGTCATCAGTGCTAAAGAGAAAAGAGGAAGCAAGTCAAGTGCCCATCAAAAGCTTTTAGTGCTCAAGCACAGCATTCCAGTTTTCATCATATCTCCACCATTTCCAAAGATATCAACTCTGTTCTCACACTTGCTTAAAGTGCTCAGCCATGTGATTCAACCTTCCAGGTTTGGAAAGGATCCTTGCACCCTATGCAATTCTACAGCACTCCATCCATCAGACACTCATTTTGCTAAGTCCATCAGATATGGCTGCCTCTTTGTCAATCATCTCACTTGTCTCTTTTGCCAGATACAGTGGCTATGTATATCTGCCAGGGGTTCCCACCAGCTTCCATCCTGAAGCCCCCTGGTTTGTTCCATCATCATCAGCCCCATCCCATCCCATGCAGCTTGGTCAGCATGTTCTCCTTGTCAGTATGACTTCCAGAAGGATGTTCTTTGGTTGCCTCAGGTCTGTCACTCAGTTACAAAGGTGTTATGTAGTTGTTTTGGTCTCTCCACTTGATGAAGCATATGGATCCTTCCTCCCTGCTCCCTGCACTGTCTTTATTCCAATCTTGTCCATCATTCTCCCCATATTGCAACAGCTGCAGTATAATCTACTGTTCTCCAGCCTCCCTGATCACATCCATGACAAGTATGACATGCATCTTGCCTTCTTACTACAAGACCCAGCAGAAGATGTCCCCCCTTCTCCCTCTCCTCCATCAGAGCCCCATGCATGAAGCTTTTATTAAATTTGCTGAGAGGATGAATGGGAGGGAGACATGATTGCCTATGCTCCCATTTCCCCACAGACCCCCAATGCCCTAGCCCTTTGACACCTGACTCATGCCATCCATTTCTGGAATCAATACCTCCCTATCTGGAAACATTGTCCATCTGTCATCCCATCTTTGGATCTAGTGATGTCTCCACTGAGATCTGACATGCATTGCCACCCCCTAATGTGATGCCAGTGCACTTACTCAGGTTTTGACTCATACTGTGATATTTTGACTGTCCTTGACTCATTTGTTGTCAATACTTACCAATCCTCTTTGCTTGCTGTCTTTTCTCACTTACTCATCATGATTACTCATTGCTTACAGTCCTTACTCATTACTTACCAGGTGTTTGTGCCTTGTTTGTTATAAGCTGTGCTCCCCCCATGGTATATAAACCCCCTGTACATAGCTACAAAATAATCAAGAAGAGGTCACTCAGGAATCTGTCAGTTCATCTCAGTCCTAACTCATCATCAACAGTTGAGGCTCATTCAGAAGGGTCTATCTACCTCCATTCATCTGAAGCATCATTTGTGCTTAGTCAGCACATTTGCTTAGTCATCCATACACTCCTGTGTAACTTGTCATTGACTTGCACCAGGAGTCCTTTTGGCTGAATACCTTCACCCTATTCAGCATCCCCATCAAGTCATCATTCATTCATCTACTCCTGCATAACTTGTCATTGACTTGTGCCAGGAGCACTCTGCCATCAAAGATCTTTACTCTAGCCAGTGTCCCCCTCTCAGTCATCATCCATTCATCTTCTCCTGCATAACTCATCAATGACTTGCACCAGGAGCACCTGCCATTGAAACTCCCCCCACTTTAGATTCTCTCTGCCCTCCAGGTTCTGCAGGGGTAAACCACAACTTGCTCATACTTGTCTTTGGTGTTGGATGTGTTTGGTTTTCACCAGCTTTCCACACTTTGACTCACAGTGTGCAGGAAGGGAAAGGCCCCTGTGCAAGGAGGGCTGGACAGCAAGATCACTGCTGATCTGTTGCAGTCATTGAGGCTGCTGTGTGCCAAGGCTGCATATCTTTGACTTCAGGTATGTGTCGATCAGCTTGCTGAGGCACTGGAGAAGATTGGGGTGGAGTAGGAATGACTATAGTTTGCTTAGACTTGTTACATTGTCCTGTCTGCACATCAGTGCACATAGCACTAAATATACCACTATTTTCCCTTCTGCATGAGGCTGCAATGCAAAACGACCTAAAGTGCTTGAACACTCTCCACAGGACAGTTTGGCCATGGTAAGATACACTGTGTGGGGTACTGCCTGACTTGTCTTCTTCATGCAACTTTCAACCTCTCTCAGCAGTGAGTCCTCATAGTATGGTGTTGACAGAAGGACATGACAATGTCTTGAAGAGAGGATGAAGGGACTTTTTATTGGGTAACTGGGACAGTTTTTGGGTATCAAGTGTAAGGAGGCAGAAAAAGAATTGAAAGGAAAAAGGATCAAGGGGTGCTCGCTGACTATGCATTCAAAGAAGAAATGCACAGTGTAGTTGTGAGTATCTGTGGTATACAATGGCCAAGGATGGCATCAGTGGGACTAGTAAGTGAAGTAACAGGAGAGACATTGTTTTAGTTATATACTTATTGGGTGTTTTGTTGTTTTTCTGGACAGTTTTGGACTTTTTGTTAGCAGTTTTCATGTTTTGTATGTTTTTTGAGTGTGAACTAGCTATCAGTAAGATCACTGGACGAACCCTGGGGTGGAACAGAGGTCTCCAGACAAAACACAGGGTAAAACAGATAAGGGGAAATGAACTGTGTCTGGTATCAGATGGACTGAGTGGTATGTGGGTCTCCCCTGTGGGGGACTTTGAATGCTGACTGTCCCCAGTCAGTGCAGAAGGCAAAATGGCAGGAGTGCAAGAAGTGGTGGGTGGGCAGGGAATACTGTGGAAAGGAGTATCATGGGATAGAGAAGAATGGAGACAGGTAGGAAGGGAAGAAGGGGAGGTGCAATGCACAGGCTGTGGGTGCTGGAGGGGGCAGATAGTCAGCTGTCCAAGGCATAGGCCTCAGCTTCCACAAGAAGGAAGTCTAGTGCCTTGTCATCCAAACCAGTAATATGAGCCATGGTTGTGCAGCTTTGTAACTGTGGATGGTAAGGGAGTAAGCAGAATGCAGTGAAGCAGAGTTTGGAGATGGAGCCATCTAACTCAGCCAGCAGGTATGAGCCCCCAGTGGTCTGATGAAGGATGACCATGGGGCCAGTGTGCCATGGCTTCATCTTCCTGATGAGTTCTTTCTCTACTTGGGAATTGCAAATGAGCACAAGGGTGCCAGGTGCAAAGTTATTGTCTTTAATATGATGTTGGAAGGCAGCTTCAAACTGTTGGACTGACTGGAAGCACATGTGGAGGATGTTGTTGCAGACCTGGTGCAGGTCATCCTGATGCTTCTGTAGCTGGTGCATGTGCCAGGCAATCAGTTCAGTGGTGGTCAGTGGCATTGCATCATCATGAGATAAGGGTAAACCACAGGTAGCCTCAGCAAGGTCAAATGGGAATAGTGGCTTGACACCATGTACCATGAAGTAAGGGGACAGACCCATGGACTTCAATATGGTGACCCACTTGGCCCAGAAGACAGAGTGTGCAACAGAGTGCCAGAGGCAGTCATCATTCTCACAGCTCTTCATGATAGCTTCATGTACATCATAGTGGTGATGCTCTACAATACCATTAGCCTGAGAATTGTAAGGAGAGATGTGGATGTGACAAATATGATATAGCATGGCCAGGACATCTAAGGCTTGAATGAATGTGGGACCATTGTCTGTGACAATTTCAGCAAGTGGGCCCCAGTGGCATAGGATGTCCTCAAAGATGAAGGATCCAAGTGTGGTACTGTTTTCTCCATGCAGCATGCACCATTCTGGGTATGAGGTGAGTGTGCATTGAGCCTGTACTATGTACTAGTAGCTGCTGGCTTTGGGCATCAGCATCATGTCAATGTGAGCTTTATGAAAGTGGCCCCCTATCATGGGCACAGTGGGAGGT